AGGAAATATTCCGGTGCTCGAACCACTATATGAGCATGCAGTTAGTAATCCCGTAAAACCCAGAAGCAACGATAATGTGATACCTTGGTGGGAACTTGCTACTAGAAAATATCGTCATCGTAGTTGTCCTTCGTTACAGGTAAATTGGTTATTTTGTTGAGTATCGTACCTGATTTAGGTGGAGATTTGGAAACTTTCTAAAAATGCAGAGATTATAAAATTTAATTAATTACAAGTATAATTTACCTTGACGGTAGTTAAGGTTGGAATTTTTAATGCATCTTTTACATAAATGTTTACGATAAATTTATTGCAGTGTATATCTCATAAAAATATTTATATTGTTTTTCTAAATGATATTTGGTGTAAAAGTTTTAATGAGTAAAATGTTTAAACATAATTTACTTTAATTAATTAGCAATAGAATCAAATTTTTTACAAACTTTTTTCATTTTTAGTAGAAACAATTTTCTGATAATTTTAGAAATTTTATAATTAATGTTTTTCTTTGAGAAATCTAACAATAAACATTCTGTCTTCTTTCAACAATCTTTAATACAATCTATCTTTAATAGGTAAAAGAAGTTTTTTTCCCATGAACTATCGGTCTACTCATATCCAAATTTGGCGTTAAAAACAAACATTTCCAAGCCCATTTTGTTAGGGTCTACTGCACAGTTCTGTAAAAGATAAACCTATACCCTTGAAATAATATACATGATGATAATTATTTTTTCATCTATAAAATTTTCGAACCGGTTCCCAGGTTATTTTTCAAGGCATTTTTAAAATTAAAATAAATATACTATTAATATAATAGCAACACCTCAATGAATACAAATGTTATTAGCACGATTAAAGAAAAAAAAATTTATTTCTATAATTATTTTCAATATTCACGTAGAACTATCCTCATCAGCATTCATTATTATTTTCATTCATAGTATTATATTATTTGCAAACGAAGTTTAATTTTTTTGCTTATTTAATTTTATTTACAACAATTTTTATATTCATTAATTAAAATAAACTCTTCACGTACTAGAAATCACATCAAAAAATGCATTATCTTTTTTTTTACAACTTTTTGAATATCACACATTAGTTAATGTAATTAAAGCCTTAAAAGTGATCACAAAAAGTACATCAACCCTACAATTTTTTCGGGAAGGTTTCAAACAAATGTAATTATTTTTATTCAGAGTCATGTTTCAGAAAAACTAAATTATACTCTACACATATAGAAAGAAGATAACAACATTATTACACACATTATAAAGTACTTTTTTTATGAAAAAAAAACTTTAATCACATGAATTTCAATCAATTAAAATAAATATTAAAGCTTCTTTCGAAGAAACTATTTATTTAAATACACCTTAAATTTTGAAAATAACACTCTCAACACTTTATTTCATTTCATAAGCTATAATTGTCACGATTAAAACAGAACATTTTTTCTAACTTAGCCCACATTTTCTAATTATCATTCATTGAGTAATTGTTGCAATTGAATTTATTTTAATAAGCATTAATAGCCATAAAGAGTCATTCAGTCAAATAAACAAAATTGATACTTTCTTTATTTAACCATCGAATTTTTTCTCTAAAAGATAGCTTTGTTATCATACTCGTCAGTGGCTACTGCATATTAGGAATACAGTCACTGCACCTGTGTCAATTAAGTGCACCTGCTCAAAACCCAAAGACATGTTTTTCGGAATGCTTTTCATTTTACAAAACGTCTATTATGTATTAGTATCTTGTTATCAAACAAATTTTATCGGTGAATTGAAACAAAAAAAAAAAATAAGAATTTCAATATATGTAATTAGTATGACATGTAATAATCTTTATAATAATATGTATGACGATGTAAAGTTTCATTTTTAATCACGATATATGATCTATAAATGAAATAGAAAGTGAAGAAAATTGATGGATAATTATTTTAATCACTGTCATAGATAATCTATATCATTTAGTAGATTAGATACTCATTTTACACGTTTATAAAATTTCTAAGGAAACATTGTAAACTAATCGATAACATTCAAAGAGTTTTCTTATCAAAAATCTCAGTAGCTACTTTCAGTTTAATTTTATTTATTTTTATAACTTCAGGAAGCACTCATATTTCAATAAAGTTAAGAAAAAATGAGTTTCAAACTTTTAAAGTAGTTGAATGAAAAGTAGTTGAGTTCCAATAAATATCTAGCTATAAATTTCAACTAAAAGTTCAATTTAATAAAAATAAAAATCTCTTAAATCAATAAAAACTAGTAATTTGAAAAACTAAAATTATTCAAAGATGTTTCAAGACAGTTTTTTATAAGTTATCTCAATGGCTTCCTATTATAAGCCATATTTGTTTATAAGTGGTACTATTTTCTCCCTATTGCATTAATTATAGGTAATCTTTATTAATTAATTCAAAAAAAAAACTGTAAGGGTGAATTAATTTTGTCTCCCCATGTTGTTAGAAAAAAAAAAGGTCTTCACAGTGAATACATTACAATAGAGCTTAACTTCAGTATTAACTGTCATCAGACAGCTTGAATAGTATTTGTTTTAGTACTGAATTTCAATATCAATAAATTTTTATGTAGAAATCTAAATAACAAAACTTATTCTATTCAATATTTTCTTCGACCTATACACATTACAATTTTGCTCTACTTTCAAGAAGTTTACTCTTTCGTGGTATAATAAAAAGACGACCTGGATGCGTGTAGCAAAAACATACTCATTTTCTCTACAACGTATGTAACAGAACAAGCCTTGTTCTGTAGTGTTGTCTTGGAGTTAAAATGCATTTCATACATAAAACCTTTATAGAATTGTAGGAACCGATTTGATTATCTTTGTTAAGCCAAAGCATGCATAAAGTTTCATGAAAAACACAATAGAAAATAAATTAATGGTCATTAAGGTTTATCTTAATTGATACTTATATATTATGGGCTATTATAAAGACTCTTTATTAAAGAGAAAGCATTGGATTGGTGACTATAGCATGTCTACATCATTTATTAATGCAAATCCAACAGTATGTTTAAATCAATTCAATTTTATATTATTAATGTCTAATCCAGATGCATTCTCTCTTGCCAATTATTGCTGTAGCATCTGCCAGTGTTTTAAATGTTCAGACTAGACGCCGCCACATTTTAGTAACATCACGTTCATTGACCCAACTACACTATAGTCCCTGTAATCTCTAAGAGTAAGTCTTAATAATGACTCCCTTTAATTAAATTGACCTATAATTTGAATAAATAAAAATGTTACAGCATATGTATGTTGCAAACTTTAATAAGGTTCCATCAGGACATGAAACATCACGATTGTAAACATGATCATCATGATTAATTCTGATCTTAATACTTTACTTTTAAGATATACCCGTTGCAAGAGACAAGCTAACAAGCTACCGTGAATTACCATGATTCTTTGGACTGATACAAATGTATATGTAATGAATGGTGTTGGTTTCCTTTCTGTTTATTCACCCACGCTGATGCACTTGTACTTTTATTCGAAATAGCTTATTATATATGAGTATTTTTTTTTATGTTTTTTGCTGAATAAAATAACATACCAACGTAATATCTAGCAGGAAATCGTTGGGTATTTTCATAAGGGAGCAAAAGTGTCTAATGAAAGTTTTCCAAGTTTGTAACATCTCTAACGTTCCATATAAGTTGAACAATATTTACTTTTTACTAAGGAAAATAACTTTTAAACTACTTTGCTCAAGGTTGTGTAATTTAAACTGACAAATTTCAAATATTTTGGAGATCAATCTACTCGTAACATGTTGAAAACCACTGAACTGATTTGCTCCAAGTTTTTGCGGTTTTTCTTTTAAGACCATTATCCATTGTATATCATACGATTCTTTTTAATGCCCTTCAGTTCTTCTTTTAAAGCAAAACATCTATCACACTCGACCTGAAGAATTTGTTATTTTCATTCAAATAATTTAGTCAATTTTGTAATTTTTTTTCCAATTAGTTAAATGATACGTATAATTTCGTAAAAAATAGTCTTGATAATTAGTTTTTTTTGTAACCTTTTAAGTCTAAATGCTTCTTCAAATATTAAGTCAAACTGTTGACTCCGAAAAACTCTACGTCAATACCATTCATTTATTTTTTTTTTTACTTTTTCTAAAATAAAAAAAAGAAATTATCAAAATGATGATAAAAATTCTTGAATGATGACACGTTGTTTTATTACTAATGTTGATAAGATAATTATAGAATACAAGATTGTAAATTTACCAAAACTTCTTGCATCATGATCAAGGTTTTTTTAAAAATGTTAATTAAAAAACCACTAAAATTGATGAATATTAATTAAAAATTTTAAAGTTGATGTTTTTGTGATGAACCTGAAGAAAACAACTTTTTTCCAATATTATTCATTGATTTACAAACACTAATCCCTGAAGAAATACTGTTGAATGTCTAGTTTCTAGATAATCTATCTGGGTTAATCTTTTAAACTTACATTAATAAAACAGGAAAAAGGCAACAAAGCATAAAAAATTTTTACCGATTAAATATAACTGACTTTATAGTTAATAATATTGAAACATATCTTTGAGTTCAAAATGTCGGCCCTTTGGTTAAGAAATATCATACGTAATTATATAGTCACATAAATCGCTGTGTCGAGAGTTCTCAGTAATTATGCGTCGTTGGAAATTCATACGAAGCAGCAACGCATGACAATGCACTGAGGAAACTTGTTTTAAGCAAATTCTTTTATTGTAAAGTAAAGCACCATATATACACAATGCAAATATTACAATGAAAAAAGACATAAAATAAATTATGTTGAATAGATTTAAAATAAATTCATATTTCATTTCATATATATTTTTTAGCCTCATATGACCTACATAATATTGAATGATCAATATGAGTATATTAATATGACATATTTATATTTATTATTACAGTTGTTTTGACTAGACGAACTTTATGTTTCAGGCCCACGTTGTATCAGCGTTCGAACAGTCTCTATCTAATATGACCCAAAGGCTTCAACAACTCACAGCAACCGCTGAGAAAAAGGTGAGTCAATTTCCGGCTCTGTTATGCATTATATTCACTTTAGATTTGTAAAGCACATAGTGATCTATTTATCAAAATAAATGTAACATTATCTACATTATAAATTTTAAATGGACTTTAAATATATTTTATGCATTTCAACAGGATTCGGAGCTTCAAGAACTTCGAGAAACTATCGAACGATTACGAAAACAGAGTGCAGAGGCGGGTTTAAATAATGGCACATCACCAAATGGTCGTCGACACACCCTTGGAGATTCGGATACTGGAACAACTGGATGTACAGGTTACAGTAATCATCAAGGCTCTTCAATAGCACGACAGTTATCTGCTGACAGTGTAACGTCTTTAAACTCATTGAGTAGTGCTTGCTCAGCGAGCAGTCACAATAAGAAAAAAGGATGGCTGAGGTCTTCATTTTCCAAAGCATTTTCACGATCGAGAAAAAATAGACAAGGTTCTGTATCTGATGCTGAAGATTGTAAAGATGTACCTAGTGGAGAATTGAGTGCACCAAACAGTCCCAGGTTACCTACTGCCGTCAAACATGACAAATCAAATCAAAATCAAGGACAAAAGGTGAATGGACAAAAATCACCAGAGCATGAGAATTCATTGAGTACAAGTAAAAGCAGTTCTGCGTTATATAAGAAAGAAGATGATGATGTTGATGAACTGAAAAAACAGTTAAGAGAAAAGGATATGGTGCTAACTGATATTCGATTAGAAGCTTTGTCATCAGCACATCAACTAGAATCTCTAAAAGATACAGTTATTAAAATGCGAAATGAAATGTTAAATTTAAAACAAAATAATGAGCGGTTACAGCGACTAGTAACATCTAAATCATTAACTTCATCCCAATCATCACTGCCTAGTGATCCTGAACGTCGTTTCAGTATGACGGAAGTAGCCTCGAGCGTAGCAGCACTGGCTAACGGTGACGACGGATCAGCAGCTGATCAATTAGAAGATCTGAGTGTACCAGAACATCCAATTGTACCGACAAATACTAGATCATACTGCCAATCATCAACTAATGAGCCTGTTATTGAGCAAGACATGGATGGAAAACGAATTAACGTTGCTGTATATCTTGGTAGTGAAAAATGCTTTAATTCAAATCTTATTTCGGGAAACAATGACGGAATGATGGGTGAACCGCCTCATTGTATTATTGCCAGCGTTTGTATATCGAATAAAACAACGTGGGATTCACTTGACTCCACTGTGAGACGTTGCTTCAAAGATTACATTTCTCGAGTTGATCCTGTAACAAATCTTGGATTAGGGGTTGAGTGTATAGCTGCTTATCATTTGGGTGAAGCGTCTAAATCAACAACAGACTCACAAAATCCAGAATTACTGCCCTGTGGTTACTTAATAGGACATGTTAAAACAATTTACCTCGTGCTTTCTGGATATTCTTGGTTAGCTATTGATACGCTCATTCCAAGATCCATTGTTCAACGATTAGTTTCTTTATTGACAGAGCACCGACGTGTTATTCTCTGTGGACCCAGCGGTACTGGAAAAAGTTATCTTGCTGGAAAGCTTGCTCATGCTCTTGTCGATACTGATGCAGAATCTAAAGATGCTGCTGCAGTTGCAACGTTTAATGTCGATCACAAGTCAAGTAAAGAACTGAGACAATACTTGGTACATATTTCGGAGCGATGTGATTCAAATGCTGCTGATGAATTACCTAGAGTTATAATTCTTGAAAATCTTCAGCATGCAACTTCTTTAGGCGAACTTTTTAGTGGATTACTTGGTACCCGGCATTCATCTTGTCCTGCAATAATAGGAACTATGAGTCAAGCAACATGTAGTACTACAAATCTACAGTTACACCATAATTTCCGGTGGGTATTGTGTGCGAATCATATGGAGCCCGTGAAAGGATTTTTAGGGCGTTATCTTCGACGTAAACTTCTTGAACATGAATTACGGGAATCGGATGGAACACGAAATGCTGAAATGGCTGCTGTAGTGGAATGGCTTCCACGGGTTTGGTTGCATCTCAATAAATTTCTCGAAACACATAGTAGTTCAGATGTTACTATAGGACCAAGGCTATTTCTATCCTGTCCAATGGAGGTTGCTGGTTCACAAGTTTGGTTTACAGATTTATGGAATTATTCGGTAATACCTTACTTAGTTGAAGCTGTAAGAGAAGGCTTGACATTGTATGGAAGACGATCCAGCGGAAATGGCAATACTGATGGAGCATGGGAAGATCCGGCGCAATTTATCATTTCCAGCTATCCTTGGATTTCAACCCACGCTGTTCATGGTGGTAGTGATGCTCTCTTACGACTCAGGCCTGAAGATGTTGGTTATGATGTGATTAATGCAGGACATACTTCGGGAGTAGGAGCATCTAGTGTCAAAAGTCTTGGTAGCACACACAGTGATACTGAAGGTGATCCTCTTGTAAGTATTCTTCATACAGTTATTAATTTGATTGCATTATCATTTATATATTCGTCTTTATTTTGATTAATCTATTTAATTCTAGTTGAATATGCTGATGAGACTGCAGGAAGCAGCCAATTACTCAAGCCCCCACAGTAATGATAGCGATTCTGTAACATCACTTGATTCTTCTCATACCCGACATTCTGAAGATCTCAACACCTCAACGTCTTCAAGAGGGAGTAGAATCTGCGCTTTAAATAAGACTCATTTATTGCTGTTTATAAAAATAAAGTAAATTTATTTCGGTGTAATATTCAACTGCAATGAAGATGAAGATTAATTTATAAATATTTTTAATTAATTAAGTTTAAAAGATAAATGATTAATGCAAATATTGCCTAGCCAATTTATTTTTAATGAACATTTTAACAACTGCGTACAACAGAAGTATAATTGTGGCAGGTTGTTATGTTTACCCATTGACATGTTCAATTGAATATAGCCAACTACCTTTATAAATAAATAAATTTCTTAATTTATTATTAAATGGTTATAAACCGGTCTAAATGAAGCTACTGAGTAACAACTGATGGCGATAATAAAATGTTTCAATTAAATTTTGAAGTATCAATAATACATAATGCAATAAATTACGTATCCGAAATGTTATTTTATTTTAAACTTATATGATTTTATACAATGACAATGATGCAAAATCATAAGTTAGAATAATAGAAAATTGTACGGAAACTATTGAGAAGTTGAAATAATGAATTTTTCTATGGAGTTTACAGTATTAATGATAAATATGAATTTTTATATAAGCTGAACGAAATAATGCGATATTTAATTAAAAAAAGTAAAAAACAAATAAAAATGTGACTGGATAATTCAATAATATTATTATCAACATTATTACCATTTATACGAATCTTATACTCGAATATAGTATATTTATACAAATTCGTTATAAAAAAATTTTATTTAATTTAAAAATGTTAATAATATTTACACTTACTTGAATGTGACGCCGCTGAATTTTTTACGCATTAAAGAAAATGTATTAACATTATATTCTGATTAAACTTTATAAATAGCCAATAAGTTATATGAGTAATTCTGGTCATATACAATCTGTAAATATAAATTTATCGACAAATGACGTGATCAATAAAAAAATTGAATAATAATAAATAATATTAAGTAAAAAAAAAAGAATAATAATTAATGCAAAATTATTTCCACTTTCTTAAAAAAATAAATGACAAAATAAACAAGAAAAAAAGTTGTAATAGGAAAGGCATACACGTAAAAAACTAAATCATAAGTATTAATATTCTCTAAATCATTGATATACTACTTCTGCCATTCAATGTGTAATTGCTATTAAAGAAAAATAAAAATGTGAAGATTTTGTAATCTCTATCTACACTATCTTGCGACATATTGTTGTAAAATGTTTGCAATTGAATTCTGTCATTTTATTTCGAGTGTTTGTAAACTCGTAACGTATAACTAATTGATGTGAATGTAATATAATTAATATTATACAACTGCATTTAGAGGTTTTTTACGTTTTTACCGTCTTTATACGCTGTACAACGCTACATCATAAAAATTTCCCAAATTATAATAAACCTAATAAAAATATAATGATCATGATCATAATAATAACAGTTGTGTCATAAAGGAATGATTATATTTCATCTATTTTTTTTTTTATAACTTAATATTTCCCTACATTTAATTTACAGTCATAAATACCATGTTCACAACTCAAAGATTATTCATAAACAATGGCAGTGATTGTTGAAAATTTTTTTTTACAAATGGGATGGGTTATTTCATCGATGATCAAAGATAACAGTTGAAGGATATTTCTTAAGTTTCAAGCAGTATTCTACAACTGCATAAACCGTAAGTAATCTTCTATCCATAGCACTGAGATAATCCTCTGTAATAAGAGGGAGTACATCAGCTTCTTTGGCTTCATGAGCTAAAAGCTGTCCTAAAGAAGTACTTAAAGCTCCACCTCCAAGGAGTTGTAATCTATCCCAAGTAGTTTTATGGATCCTGTAATTTTATTTTTAACTAAAGTATTCAAGAATATTCTTCAGAATAGATTTTAAAAATCGGACTTATTCTCACATAAAATCTACTAACTTTTGATTCATATAAGGCTCAAATGATGATCTTTAATAAAGTTATTTTAAAAAATTATAAAAAAGTAATTTCTCTACATCTCCAATAATAGTACTATTTTTTTCTCCGAAACTGAGTCTATCACTTATAACTTTTTACGTCAGCAACTACTTGACTCTTGATATTCTATGATGTAACTAAATTTTATTACTATTTCTTAATATCTCTAAAACTTGAACTCAATATTACATTCCATTAAAGTTCATGTCAAGTCATGAAGTATCATTAAATCTATTAGCCAATCAATTAAGAATTTGTGGGCCTTTAAAGAGATAATTTTAGAGATCCTTCATTCCAAAAATAAATCGACTTACATACAACATTCGTAAAGAGGTGCTAAAATATCAATGTGATCGATATCCGGATTTGCTAAACTCTTTCCATTATCAATTAATAAAGCTGCCGGATTATGAAAATTATTTTGCATCAACTCGTAATGATGTCGATCTCCATTATCCATCAAAAAATCAAATATTGCAGTATCTATTAAATCTAATAGACGACTAGAAGCATGTGGTGCATAAGTTTTGCTTTCTTTCACCTAAATTATAATATAACCATTAATTCCATTGTACGTAATTATAGTAGAAGCTAAAAAATTCTCACTTACTTTATCACAATAATTCTTATTAGTCTCCCATTGTGCTAACTTATTACGCTTATAAGTTCGTTGCCAAGGATGACGATGCTTAAATAGTTTAAGTGTTGAAGGTAACCATAATATTACAGCACCTTCTAACATATAATTTTTACTACATATGGGATCTGCTGCAGAACAATAATGGCAAATTCCATAAAAACAAGTTTCATTTCCTACTTCATACATAGTAGCTTGAAGATCAGGCGTTGCTATATCACGCAATCCTTTTAGATTTACTAGAAATTACAGTCACATTATTATAACTAATTACGTATTATTAATAAGAATAAATTCAAACAAACGTACACTTTCTTATAACTGTTAATGGAACTCGTCTCAATCCAAGAAGAGAAGATAAATGGAATGCTACAACTTCTGCATTATGTCTATCTTTTCCAAAATAGACAGGACCATGTAATATCGTCTCTCTACTGTACCATTGAGGCTTAAATAAAGCTTTGACATTGGGTTCTAAAGTGAGCATTAATTTAAGTTGTGTACCCACTTGAGCATTTGCTGCTTTAACTATCTTTGTTTTTCTTAAAGCATTCAATATTGTGCCTAACTCAGGAGCAACTGGAGGTAACAAATGATGAGCATCTGGCCACTAAAAAATGTCATTAATTAATTTCCAGTATCATTAAATTGAAATGAAATAGAAAATACGTATTACATTAACATTAGGAATACTCCAAAGATCATTTTGGGTATTATCCAATACTTTTAACTCTGTCAACAATCTATCAAGTAAAATAACATAACTAGAATTTCGTTTAAAATACTTTGATGGCAATAATCGCATTTCTGCTTTAATTTTCTCCTCAATTTCTCGAATTATTGACTTTTTCGTTGGTTCAATTTTATTGTTATCCACAGTATTTGCATCTTTAATCTTTTCATCAGAGACTGGTAAATTTCTTGAAAATGATGTTTCAGATGAATTCTCAACAATCATTCGAATAAAATAAACATTTATTGTGAGTACAAGAATTAAAAGCCCGCCAAGTGCGATTAGTGTACACCGTCGACCAATCATCTGCAACAAGTAACAAAATTGATGCATAACCTATCCATAGGTACTGTGTGTTATCCTGTCTAAATGTCAATAAAGATGAAAAAATGAAAATATAAATGAAAATTGTATAATTCTCTTATGAATGATTTTCCTTGTACCTCTTTAGAATAGACTTAGCTTTTGTGGTTACTTTTACAGTATCTAAACACTTCATTATTCACTATTTCAATTATTCTTCGATTTAATTTTCACTCCACTGGGAGCTCCGAACAGCTCGGAGACTACTGAGCGCCGCCATATTATTCCTTGTCTATCCTTATCTATAGATAAGTATCATAATAATTATACAATGTATTGTATAATTACAATAAGTTCATAGAACATTTAAGGCTGAGCTAAAATCAGAAAGTTTCCCTAACATGAGTCAGAGGCAGAGAAGAGAGAACAGTATAGAAGTCTAATGCTGTGTTAAAAATCCGGACCAAGTTACGGTCAACATGTAGGTATTTTGGGTCAACATGTCGGTAATCGCAGGTCACAACATAAAAGTTTCTGTAAACCCATCGAACGATGGCGCGGCAACGGTTTATTCTAGCCACGCCCCTTAATCTAGGAGAGAAAAGAGATAAGATTTGGGTTCTCTTTTACTCTCATTATAAGAATCCTAAGCCAGTTTAGTTTCAAGCACCAATTTTTCAATAGAAAAGGTCCGGCTCTGTTCGCAACATACATAGAAGCTATAAAACCGATTTGATATTTTGATAACAACCCAGAGAAAACACGCTCGACTACGGAAACGTAGGTTTTGGGTTCAAGCCTATCGATGTCATTTCTTTTTTTAATTTTTTCAATCTCACAAACAATAGAGACTTCTCGGAGTCCTATCCATCACATTAGACAGAAATGAGACAGATAACAAAATAATCTTTCCTCTTAGTTCCGTAGGGCAAGAGCTTTCTAATGCACTAGTCGAAATTATGATCCGAGCATAATTTATGTTAAAATGATAGCCATTTCCGGTTTGACCTTCATTTCCATTTCCACGAGTTTTAGAATCAATTAATATATGAGGTTCAATTTTAGAACACCGGAACGTACAGAATAACCTTCAATCTTCAAAGTTAGAGAATTTTCTTTTCTAACCTCAAAAAATGCAAAAAATCGTATTTATGCCTGGATCATAAAATTAGGTATGTCATTGGAAAGAGGGGGACGAGACGGGTTCCGAACTCTGGCTATCAACTGTAATTGGTTGGTAAAATCAAGAGATATTCCCCGAAAATCTGCAAAACATAAAAATATGCATAACTTCTATGTAAATGATGCTACGGCGTTGATCGTGGGCTCATATGGGAGATCGGGACCTAAGTGAAGAATTCGATTCCCCCTATAGGATAACCCCGTCAAAAATGCCGTATCTCGCTTAGTTTTCGAGTTATGAGCGTTTAAAGGTTTTTCTATGCTCCATTGTAGCATAGCTTCGTTTTTCGATCATAACTCACGATTAATGAGAGGTACGTGGACCACAAGCATATCAATTGATTCCCGAAAGCAAGTGCTTTCTAATGAACTAGTCGAAATTATGATCCGAGCATAATTTATGTTAAAATGATAGCCATTTCCGGTTTGACCTTCATTTCCATTTCCACGAGTTTTAGAATCAATTAATATATAAGGTTCAATTTTAGAACACCGGAACGTACAGAATAACCTTCAATCTTCAAAGTTAGAGAATTTTCTTTTCTAACCTCGAAAAATGCAAAAAATCGTATTTATGCCTGGATCATAAAATTAGGTATGTCATTGGAAAGAGGGGGACGAGACGGGTTCCGAACTCTGGCTATCAACTGTAATTGGTTGGTAAAATCAAGAGATATTCCCGAAAATCTACAAAACATAAAAATATGCATAACTTCTATGTAAATGATGCTACGGCGTTGATCGTGGGCTCATATGGGAGATCGGGACCTAAGTGAAGAATTCGATTCCCCCTATAGGATAACCCCGTCAAAAATGCCGTATCTCGCATAGTTTTCGAGTTATGAGCGTTTAAAGGTTTTTCTATGCTCCATTGTAGCATAGCTTTGTTTTTTGCCCATAACTCACGATTAATGAGAGGTACGTGGACCACAAGCATATCAATTGATTCCCGAAAGCAAGTGCTTTCTAATGAACTAGTCGAAATTATGATCCGAGCATAATTTATGTTAAAATGATAGCCATTTCCGGTTTGACCTTCATTTCCATTTCCACGAGTTTTAGAATCAATTAATATATAAGGTTCAATTTTAGAACACCGGAACGTACAGAATAACCTTCAATCTTCAAAGTTAGAGAATTTTCTTTTCTAACCTCAAAAAATGCAAAAAATCGTATTTATGCCTGGATCATAAAATTAAGTATGTCATTGGAAAGAGGGGGACGAGACGAGTTCCGAACTCTGGCTATCAACTGTAATTGGTTGGTAAAATCAAGAGATATCCCCGAAAATCTGCAAAACATAAAAATATGCATAACTTCTATGTAAATGATGCTACGGCGTTGATCGTGGGCTCATATGGAACCAGAAGAAGATAGAAGAATAGTAAAAGATTGTTATGAAAATGATATATTCACAATCAGATAGGTTTGTGAAATGTGCAGGATGAACTGGAGAAGAAATACGATGGTAAAAGCATAGTAATGTGACTCACTTAAAGTTAATACGTAGAAATTTCTAAACCTTTTTTATGTAGCTTATAGTTTTTTTAACGATAGTCGAATGAATCATATAAAAAATACATTGGTAATAATTGGTATTTTATTTTATAAAAAAAAAAAATATATGTATTCATACATATATGTTAACTACCAGATGAATATTAAACTAACTTAAGATTAATTTTAGGCGTTTTAGAAGTTGTATCCCAAAGTAGAGCTGTAGTTTTAAATGGCTCGGTTGTAATAGATACCTCAAATTTTGAGTCTTATTGATAGGTACAAAGTTGTTGACATTTTAAATTCGGCAATTTCTCTTTAATCTCTTCGCTGACGTTCTTTTTCTCGTGCAAGTTCAGCAGAATAATCTAAAGGAGAATTCCGCCTGAAACATCAATATACATGAGAGTATGAGAATTAGAGTGAATGAATCTAGGTCTATCTTATGCTTTGATGATATATGTTTAGCCTATATTTTATAAAGATGATGGGAAGTATTAATTTACCTGTCGCGATATTTATCACGACGTTCTCGGCTGGAGTCTCTCCTACGACTTCTACTTCCACTGCGGCTTCTATGCCTTCTGCTTCTATCACGGCTTGATCTTCTAGAGTATCGATCACGTTTTTTATCATCAACCCTTGCTCTATCTCTTGATCGTTCTCGTTCACGAGATCTTCTCCTCTCCCTTTCACGATCTCTGTATTTATCTCTGCGATCTTCATCGGATCTGCAACGTAAAATGAAACAAAAAACTTATTTATTTATAGAAAAATGAAACAATTTAATGAGCATATAAGTGGGACAGTTGAGAGTAGCGAAAGTTAGAAATAGTACCCCTTAAAACGCACAAAAAGCGCTTGGGTAAAATGAAAATTGTAACCTGAAGATCGAAATATTTGCATTGCCTCAAGGTGGCACATCGTTACTCTTCATCCCTTTTTCCTAGCAATTATTTTTCAGAGCATTAGTACCTTGGTAAAAAAAATTTATTTATAGTAACGTGATTTGTATTCATACCACGTAGACGCACCTGGCTCGCCAGTGACTCGCATGAGATTCAGCTTCACCCCAATCAGCTTCACTATCTGCTATATGTTTGCCATGTTGCTGACTTCTCCAACTAGAACTGTCTTTTCGGTTGCTATTATTGCTGCATTTTCCATGATTATTTAAAGTAATTGGTGGTTTAGCATTTCTTGCACTAGCTGACTGTTGTGGAAATCTTTGACTCAGTCGATGTTCTAGATCTTTTTGAATAGGCACAGGTATTCTAGGAAATAACGTCGAAAACCATTCAAGTTTTGTTAAAAATTGTTTTAAAATATCTCCCATTTTCATTATTTGTCCACCGCCAGCTTTAACATCTAGCTCTTCATCATCTTCCAGGTACTCGTCGTACCAGCTAAATAAATCAGCTGGAGGTTGTGTGTATCTTAAAAATAATATTATTCATTAGTGACAACTATTAGTCTTATAAATTTTATGCTAATCTTTTTTATTGTAACCAGTAATATTGCTCATCAGTTTAGAAAATAAGATATTTTGCATTGAAATATAAACATGAAAAATTTTGAATTTATCTAATGAACTTTTCAATGAAATTTACACTTTATGAAATAACACGTTCATTATGAAATACTTTATTGATTAGAAATTTATTTCGTATCATCTTACATCAAATTCATGCATTAGAAATGAAATGCTTACCTGATATACATAAATCCTAGTGCTCGAATATAAGGTGAATCAGGATGATTAATAAGACCATTTAATTGTTTCCTAGTTAACCTCAGTGTGAATAATTTGTAGAGGAGACAATAAGCCGTTGAGACAATACCACCAGCTCCCACACCGCGAACCTGCATGAACCGCTAAATTTACACCCTTTATGTCAGTAATTACATTCGCTTTATATTAAAAATTATTGACCGATAACATGCTACTCTGTAATGAAATTTTTACAACACCAAATATATGCATATTTGAAACATATAGTCAATCAAATTTAAAAAAAAGCGAAAACCCCATGAAGCAAACATGCATGGGATGATAAAAATTATGTAAGTGTACATATTGTCTATATTGTTTTGAAAAACATACTCACGCCTCCACACATGCCCGTTTGACCAGCTGTCTTTCTACTGCCCTTTTCCCATGGTTCAAGATGAGATACCTTATAATATATCTCATCAATAACCTCATGGTATGTTTTTAATTCATAAAGATTTACTTTAAAATAATGTGATGATAAAATATTAGTTAAAATCAATGGATTTAAATTCATAGTCCGATCGTTTCCCCATAGTGACAAGACGTTTGATTTTTTCCCCTCTTTTTGGTTTGGTTTTCTTTCCTCCTCACAACCACTTGAATTATTCCATGGAGATCCTGTAATTTTATGAAATGTTTTATTGTTTTTGTTCATTGTCTATTATAAAGTTTTCATTATTATTATAAATACATAAAAACAAATAGTTGGGTTAGTAAAAATTGGAGCATTATAAATGTTGACATCTAATAAATTAACATGTAATATATAGATATTTTATAAAATAAATAAAAGATAATAGTTATGTTAAAGATAAAATGTATAAAATTACCACCATCAATACCGTCTACATCATGTGCCTGCATCGTGTAATGGTTGTCCACAAACTCTTAAGAGCTTCGTTCGTTGATATTATAAAACAATTGAACGTAATATAATACAAACAATATTAACAGCATATGGAGATAAATTAGATATAATATAATAAATATAACAATTATATAGTCAAATTAAATCGATGAAGTTTGTAAATATTTCACTATAACAATATTTATTATTTTTAATCTTCAACTTGAAGCAACGCGTCGGCCATTATGAGCAAAAAGACCAAGCATGGCTGACGTCACGTCACACGTTCGATACATCGATAGATCTCTAAACACAATATTGGATAACTCAACTCATTGGTTTACATTCCATTTATACTGACATCACAAAATGTGAATATAATATTTACATATTAATAAATGGTCTAATTTCAAAAAAATTTGTTTTCCAAGTTCTTATATAAATGGATTTTAAATTTCGCTAGCTGAAAATAGCGATACTTTCGATACAAAATTTCTGTCCTTTCAGAGTTAATCCTCTCAGTTTTCTCTCTGAGCTTTTTTTTCTATCTTTTCGATTTGAGATAATTACTAAATTAATTACCAATTCGATAAATATATCAGATGGCTTAGGCAAATAATTTTAAACTGCATCGTTTGCAATATATATCGAATTTCTAAAGTCGACCAAAAGTTGAATTATCCAATCAGGATTGTTCGTTTACAAGGTAGATCACAACGCTACAGGTGATCTGTTTACGTACTAAACAGTTTTTATGTCATAAGATCATGGAATTCATACTTCTATGTAGTTTGCATTTTTTGATTGTAATGCAGAAATTACTACCACTTTTTCATATTATCCATACATATGTATACATCATGTGTAGTTTTGATATATATAATGGCAACCGAAATGCATTTGTGGCATTTTATTGGTCGTAATTAACAAAACTTTAAATAAAGTTTTTAAAAAGTTAAACAATATTTTTGCGAACAAAATTTTCAAAAGCTAGTACTAATGACTTCATATTAAGACAAGTAAGAAATCAAAAAATTTTGATAATACAAGAGTTGATAACAAAATAGAATTGTACATATATGTAAAAATGTCTCAAGAAGACGATGTAGGATTTTTATACAAAACGATGAGTAAGTATAAATAAATTTAATAATTTTTTTTTAAAATTATGAATAGGCTTTTATCTAAGACTAACAATTTTTCAAAATACAATTATTAAAACTATTATGATTGATAAATTTATGATTTATAAGTTAATAAATTTATAACATTGAGAAAATTAAAATAAGTATGTAATTTCATGAAATTTCAAACAAGTTTAAAAAACATTACAAATTATTTCAGTCGAACGAGATCCTAAAAAACGTCGAGTAAAGCCAGTAGAGTCAGCTCAAACTTCTTTACTAGATTTCGATCTAGGCGAAAGCTCAGATGATAGTGATTTTCGGATTGAAGATCATTGTGAAGAGTCTGATGATGATTCTGTTGATTCTAATGATGATGGCAAAGGTAAGAATGAATACAAACAATTGCCTAACCATAAAATCAAATAAGTAATAATATTGTAAAAATTGTTCATAATTTCAGATGGTGCAGATTCTGGAGATTCAGATGATTCCTTGGGGGATCCATTGATGGTCAATAATACCAATAAAGCAAATGTTACAGGAGATATAATTGAAAAGGCTCGACAACTAGCAGAAAAAGGCCAAGTTCTAGATGAAAAATTGGCAAAGATGCTTATTTGTTGTGGATGCTTAGGAGATAGAAGTGATGATATTAACGAAATTGTTGAATGCGATGGATGTGGGGTCACTGTGCACGAAGGTACACCACCATAAAACACAGAGAAATGTTTAAACATTAAAAATACTAACTAAATAAAAATAATTCAATCTTCAGGATGTTATGGAGTATCAGATGTAGAAAGTTTTTCTAGTACAGATTCGCTCTGTCAATCAGCTCCTTGGTTTTGTGAAGCCTGTAGTGCAGGAATTGAAGATCCATCTTGTGAGCTATGTCCAAATAAAGGAGGAATCTTCAAAGAAACAGATGTCGGAAAATGGGTCCATCTAGTTTGTGCACTTTATGTTCCTGGAGTGGCATTCGGAGAGGTAAACTATTATTCAAAGAAATATTTTTATATTGATAATTAAAAATAATATTGCAAATATTCATTCAGGTGGACCGCTTATCCAGTGTTACACTTTTTGAAATGGCCTATAGCAAATGGGGTTCTAAAACGTGTTCTCTTTGTGAAGATGCTCGTTATGCTCGGACAGGAGTGTGTATTGAATGTGATGCTGGAATGTGTCATACATATTTTCATGTGACTTGTGCTCAACGAGAAGGCCTATTAAGTGAAGCTCATAGCGAAGAAGTAGATCAGGCAGATCCATTTTATGCTCATTGTAAACTCCATTCCGATAAAACATTAGTACGCCGACGACGACGAAATTGGTTAGCTCTTCAAATACGAGCACAATATCGAGCCCAATTATTAAAACAACCAGGACATTTGGATACTGAGGAGCAACGAAGGATTCAAAGAAAATTAGCCAAACATCGGCATAAATATTTAGCTCATAAAGCTTCAAGGCCCAGTCCCTGGGTTCCAACACAAAAAATGCCACGCCTTTTGACAACTTCTGCTTCTGCTTGTCGACAGTTATCAAAGAAAGCTGAATTAATGGGCATTGATATTGGTGCATTAGAAGCTCAGGAAGCTCAATTAATAGCTCTTGTTGATGTTCGTAAAAAATGGCATATTCCTCCAGCTTTTAGTGTAGAATTTATTGGATATTATCTTGACAGAAATTTAAGAGTTACGTCCATGAAGCGTAAACTTCAAGAACTCTTGGAAAAACATGCTGAATTACTTACTGAACAACAGCAGCTAGATAGAAAGTATGATGAAGTCATGAAAGATAATGAAGAACAAATCAGAATAAATGCAACTTTAAAAGAAAAGATTGAACAATACCATCAAATTCTGAGATTAGCTGGATATGTCAAACCCTTACCATTAGCAGGAGATTTAATGAAACCTCGAGTACCAAGTTTAGGAAGTGGACTAGGTGTTCCAACTGCTGCAGCATTGAAAATGGGAGTTGGATTTCCACTTCCAGTTACCAAGGGATCTGAAGGAGTTAGAGAAGGCAGAGTTTTAAGTAGTCAAGCTCAAGAACAAATTCAGAAGCCTGAATTGACATTGAGACATCAGTGTGGTATTTGTAGACGAGCTACTAATCAACATTTGTTAGCTAAATGTGATACTTGTCATTTACACTATCATATTTCTTGTTTAAATCCACCTTTACTACGACTGCCAAAGAAAACTAAATTAATGGGATGGTATGTAATGTTTTTTAATTTCATGAAAAATTAATTAAATTTATTAATAATTTTTTTCAAATTTCAGGCAATGTTCTGAATGCGATAAAGAATCTTCAGGATCTGAAGTAGAGCGAGTTGACACTTCAGCACCTCGTAAATTACGCCATTGTAAAGATGATACAGCACTGACGCCAACACCAACACCAACACCAACACTAACACCAACGCCAACTCCAGAAATTTTAATACCACCGGCTCCCAGTACACCAACAACCTCAAAAAATTTAACTCCTCCTGTTTCTAATGATCCGCCACCAATGCCTAAATTGACAATTAAACCGATGGTACCTCAACCATTTGTTGTAGAACCGATGCAAATGGAAGAATCATATAATCAGTCTGTTATTACTAAAACCGTGCCAATTCCTCCGAGAGAAGGATCTCCAGAATATATGGTAGCTTCTGCTGATGGTACAGAGTCGGTCTCTCAGAGAAGTGCTAAAAAACGGCGACGAGAAAAGCACAAAAGATATACACCAGATCCAATTACGGGAGTCAAACAAAGAAAAAGAAAACATAAGAGAAAAAGTATGGATATTGAGAATCCTGAAGGCCAACCAGAAGTTCATCGAAGAATAACAATTAAAGTAATTTGTTATTAATTTTTTTTCTTATTATTTTTTATTAACGTATGATATTTTTTATAATTATAGATCAAACCAATTCCACGTCCAGAAGGTGAAGAAGCATCAGAATCAAGTCCTCAAATGTTTATTGCAACCTCTACGAGTACCGAAATTTCACCTCCACCAGTAAATAATATACCAACTCCAGAGCCTCCACCTATTCCTGTTATTCCATCTCCTTCAATAACTATTCAGAATACTCCAGTATCGAGTGGATCATACAATTCACGTTTGTCATCAGGAAAAAAATCTAAGGATGCAGATTTGATGACTCAATGCAATGTTTGCGACATGCCAGGAACTCCACAGAATCTTGTGATGTAATAAACTTATTTAAAACTTCTATGAATAGTTCTCTTTATGAAATTAACATTGAAAATATTTTTTTTAGGTGTGATGAATGTAAAAAGTGTTATCACTTCACTTGTTTAGATCCTCCAGTTAAAAAATCACCAAAAAGACGTGGTTACTCGTGGCATTGTGCTGACTGTGATCCAAGCGTAAGTTGAATAATTTTTTATTAAAATATTAATGCAACTTATTAATTAAAAAGGTATTCTGATTGAGAATAAACTATGTTTTACAAAATTATGAAAAATTCATTATGGTTCTATTAATTTTTTTTTGTGATGGAAAAAGAAAAATTTTTATAATAAATTTTTCGCTTCAGAATACTTCGTTGATAAAATCTTTGTTCATGAGTATTACAGTTATTTTATTTTCAGGCATCTGAGACTGAAACCTAATTTAATATGTGAAAAAAGCAGCAGCAACTCTAAAATCATCAGAAATACTACTTGATTCTTTAATTTACTGATAACTTTTAATTGATTTTTTTACTAAAATTAAGGAGAATTAATTTTAATGAAGTCAATGATTATTATCTAAAAATTTTAATGCTAAAGGCAATTTATATATTAAATAAGTAATTAAATTTTGCAGCGATCTATTTACGTTTCTAATATCATTTTATTCTTTTTTTTGTTTAAAAATCCATTATTAAATTCTTTAGCTGTCATTCGTTTATGATTTATCAATGTTACCTTTTCAATTGTCACCCAATTTCCATCCTTGCATTGAACTCTCAATAAATCTAAATGTTTGTCATACACTATTAATCCTAAAATTATTTCAAAATATTTCAATTAAATAAATTTATATTATTTTAAGATCTCATATAAATAGAAAATTCAATTTACTTACCCGGTGTTATATCTAACTCATTCTTCGATTTAAATGGAGATTGCAACTTATCTAACAATTTAACATTATACAGTTTCAGTATTTGTCCTTGAAATTTAGATTCTAATGGGTAAATGTCAAATAATGCTCTTTGAAGATTATAAACATTTTCGGCACTCATTTCAGACCATTTAACAACGGCAATTGCACGTTTTATTTTCGGTGCATAAGTTAATCCATCAGTAGATTGAGGGATGCCTTCATTTAAAATATGCGGTAATTTTTGTATTGTCTTAACTAATAAATCAGAGCCAATTACTGCTAATCTTTTCTGTAACTCCGGTTGCATTTCATTTGGACCAATATTTACTATTTCTTGGGCTAATATTTCACCAATATCAAACCTTTAATGAAGAAAGTTGCATATCAAATTCAAAAAACTTTCAATAATTGGAAATAACTATTTTTTATACTTTTTTGGTTTTATTGTCATAATAGTGATGCCAGTTTTCGTATCTCCATTAAAAAGTGAATAAATTATTGGAGCAGCTCCTCTCCATCGTGGTAACAAACTTGCATGAACATTAATCATACCTCTAAAAAAATTTTCCTATTAATTGCTTCGAAATGTAATGAGAATATAATTTATTCTTGTATTTATAAACTTATATTAAAATTACTTACAGAGGAAATGAGTTTATAATAGATGTAGGAATTAAATATCCAAATGAAACAACTACTCCAATGTCAAAATCATTAATTGAAATATCAACAGGCCATTGATGGATCTTTAAATTACTTTTTTCAGCAAATTCAATGACTTCATTTCTATTACCTTTGTACGAAGTGACTACTTCTAGTTTATTTAGTAACAGCTTCGAACGACTAATTTATAAAAATATTGCTTATTTTATTATAATGTATGATAGAATATTATGTTGATAGAAAATAGACTAACTATTCCTGTTCAAGTTTTCGAAGACTTTCAAGAGCAAACGAATCAGTTCCAAAAAATAAAATTTTCCAGGGTTGACTTAAATTTCTTGTTATGTGATCATTATTAACATTATTAACTTCTGTTTTGGTGTTCAATCCTTTTTTACATAAATTGATTAAATTTTTGCATGAATATTCATGATTAATTTTTACCTTTTCTAAAATTGAAACACAATTTTTTAATCTATGATTTGGACTAATTTTTGATATCATTGTTGTGGACAATCACAATAAGATAAATCATTAATGCATTGATCAATAATTACAGAACAAAGATGTTTTTATTTAAATAACAATCATTTGTTTACATACTAACTGGAGTTTACTCGGCTTTGTATAAAATTAGTGTCGCCACCTAGACCGGAACTTAATTTCTGCGAACTAATTTAGATAATATTATAGATAAATAAATAATGTTATACAATTTGTTAAGGAACTATTTTTCAAATATTCTTTATTTATTAATTATTATGTATTTTTTATCTAGGATAAAGAATCTATTTACAAAATCATTGCATTAGGAGACTTAGTACATTATCAATAAAAATTCATAATTAGTCTTGAATAAACAATGATTAATTATGAATAATCAAGAAAAATCTATAATATTGATAAGAATTTTTTCATTTGTGACTTAAATAAACTAAATCATCATTAATATTTAACCCTACCTATTTTTATCATTGAAATTCATTAAACTCTATGTGAGTTTGATCATGTGCTAAGTGAATAATGTTATAAGAGTAAAATATTATTTTTTAAAATATCAGAAATATTTTAAAAATATTATTGAATTCTGAATTAAACTGACAAATAAATTAATGATTAGATGTGCAATTTTTTATAAGTTCTCATGACTTATATTGTGTTGAAGGCTCATTTTTACTTAGAAAAAATTAAAAAGTTTCAATTGTTGCAAATTTGTGTCATCAAAACAATTAATAATCATGACTTTCTGAATTTTTGTTCCATTTTTAATAACATGTTTTTATCTATTCACCAATCTATTATATTTTAATCGTATTAGTTTTGTCTTTGCCGTTTTTTTTTTACAGAAATAATTTGAGTAACAGTAAATATTACATTACATCGAGCAAATCACAACTTTCTTGGTCTCCCTCGTTTTCGTATATTTGTGATTATATTTGTTGATTGTCTTAAACTCCTTAGCTGTTTCTGCAGTTTATATTTTCGTTCATGCATTTTCATGTGACGCATGAACATTAAATTTGATCTAAATAGCTTTCTACACAATTGACATCGTTTTATCTGTTGTTCTGTATTACATAAAAATAAATTATGAGTCATTGATAAACTTATTTATTAAATGATGAGAATTTAAAAAATATTTGAAGTTTAACATTACCTGATCTTTTAGTTGAATGTCGAAGACAATGAGCAGAAAGCATCGCAGAACTAGCAAACCATTTACCACACTCAGTACAGCACATTTTTTTTACTTTCCACAACTTTCTTAGTTGCAATTTTTTCTTTTTTCTCAAAATACTTGAGATACGCTTTTTTCTTTCAATAATTTTTTCATTCATTTCATTTTCCTCTTTTCGATTTTGTTCTTTAATTCTTTCAGTTTCAGCTGTTGACTTTTTTTTATGCGATCGAGCATGTCTTGCAAGAGCAACAACAACGTCAAACGTTTCTGAACATATTTTACAAACATATTGCTTCTTATTCGTACTCGAATCATTAGACCTCGATCGATTGCCTTTTTCAATTCTACGTCTTCTAGTTGGTGACTTAGGACATACTCGTGAATGTGTATCTAATGCTCGTTTTTGTCTAAAACTCCTAGAACAATGTTCACATTTTAAGATTAAAGAGTTTTGTTTCTCTTCCTGTGAGTCTTCATCATCAGAGTCTACCATTATTACTTCATTTTCTTTATCACTTGATTCTTTTTCTTTACTATCATCAATAGTAATTTCTTCAATATCTCGATCTTGTTCCTCGTCGATATCAATATCTATAACTTCGATTCTCGATCGTTTAGATCTCGTCAGATGTTGCTTTGTATAACTTTTCAAAGCAAAATCAGTCCGTTTTTTCTTCCGTCTTCCTCTTTTTCTAGGAACGGGTTCTTCTTCTTGTTCTTCAACTAAAGACGCTGGTTGAATAATGATTTCTGAATCTGCGCGATCTACAGCTGTTAATTGCTGTTTCCTCGGCCTTTTTATTTTAGATCCAGAATCAGTTGAGCCTTTAACTATTTTCAACTCTGGCTCGATTTTTTCAATAGGACAGCAAATTAAAGCAGTTGAGCCGTGAATGAAAATAGTTTGTCGAGATTGTTCACTTAATTTTCCCTTACGTCCTAGAAGCGCTCTTGGCATATGTTTTGATTTTAACATACCTGAACTATTAAAAACTCTACGGCTAGGCTTTTCAATAATTGCTTTTGAAATCAAAGCAGTTCTTACTCCAAAATTTTCTGGTATTATCACTGCACCGTTTATACTTGGTCGTTCAGGAGATTTAGTTATAGGCTCGTACGATTTTTTTAATAACGATCGTGAGTTCACATTATTTTTCCCGAAAGTAGCTAGAGATTTTTCAATGTCATCAAACGTCAATTCTGAATCAGATTGATCATCATCATCATGAAAGATATTTTGAACTGTCGATTCTTGTACTACTTCTTCCTGAGGTTCAAAATCCTCAATACTTGTAATATATTCTGGAAGATTTTCTTCTATCACGTAAGATGTATCTACTAGCTCTTGATATGATAAATCATTTTCGACATCATCTATTTCGGTTTTTTCTTCATGTTCATATTCTTGGATTTCTTCTTCTACAGGTATTAATTCGGTTTTTATTGAATATGTATCATTGTTTTCAATGTAATCTTCTTGGAAAAATTCTTCTTTCTCTTGATGATGGCCTCGATATGTTTGCTTTTTCATTTGTGATGGCTTACGTACAGTTCGAACTGCACCTTCTCCAATTAATTTTTCGACATCCGATTTCATTAAAAATTGAAAATTTGTCGGAGGCTCACCCGAGTCATCATACTCTGCTACAGCAAATACTTCATCAGAATCTTCAACAGCATAGAGAGCTAATTGTTGACCTGTGGAAGTTACAAATGTTGCTATTGTTTCTTCATCCTCATCTCTATTTTCTTCCTCCTCAGTTAAAAATCTTTCTTCAGTATTTTCCTCCTCTATCCTATCTTCCATATCATCCAGAACTGGGTCCCATTCATGTTTCACTTTTTTTTTCAACACTGAATTAATATCTGGATCAAAATCATCTATTGAATCTTCATTAGCTTTTATGGCTTCATCGTAATAAACTGTTTCTGTATGAATATTTGGATTTTCAAATTCATTTGAACCCATATGATCTATTTCTCCAACCACCTCCTAGAAAAATTTTGAAAATATGTAAGAATTAGCGGGAAATTTGAAAGTTTTTTTCTAATTTATCACTTTTAAGACAAAAAAAAATTAATTAAAATTATTTTACCGCTATCGTTTCTTCAACATCACATTCTGTTTTGGTTACATAGTAATATTCATTTGAATTTGGATTAAATTGTTCATTTATTTGTGTGTCTGCCATTGTATTACAATGATTGCTTTTGCTTACTATTATCATAAATTCAACTTCATTTTATTAACCAATATGTTAAATCTATTAAGTAATTATCCAAGTTGTTATAATAATATATCTGGAAAATAAAAATGATCATAATTATCACAAAATAATTGATAACTAGTGTGTATTTTTTTACTAAACACTGCAATAAGGTTATGGTTAATTAATAATGATCTGTATTTAAAAAAAGTTAAAGATAATTTTGATGAAATTACTTTGAAATAATTATTATTTATACATACTTAATTAAAAATATTTTTTCTTTGCGCTTTTTATATAAATTAACATAGAAATAGTGAATAATCCATAAATATTCAATCCATAACATAGCATTCAATACACCAGAACATACAGACGCATCAAGATAATTTTATTCTGATTGGCTGATGAATTTCGGTCACCATTGGTAATGAAAACTTACCTAGAAATACGTAATCACAAATAACCTCAATTGAACAGATTTTTTTATAAACAAAATTATTGAAAATAATTTCATTTGTTTACGAGCACAAAAAAGTGTGTAAAATTTATTTGATATAAGAAAATATTCTTTAGAATTAATTCAGTAAACTATAGATTTGTTATGAAGCATTACTATTGGCTGGCATCTTTAAAGGTATGTTTTCATTGGTTGTTGTATGTGGATCTAACAGAAATATTTGCCAGTCAGTTTGTTATTATACAACAGAGCTTTAATTTTTATTAAAAATTAATCAAAATTCCTAAATGAATCAATCATGTTTTCATGATATTATTTTGGAAATTTTTTATTGTCTGAATGATTGTGAAGTAATTTTTCTCTTCCGAAAATTGGGTGTTTCAAAGATGGCTTACCATTGGCTACCAATATTCTGTAAACCCCTACGATTGATTGAACAACGGAAAGTTTTTCATTTTTCAGTTATTTTTTTGATGACATAATAACCGGTTTAGGACATATGTCTGTTAGCACGTGTGTACAGTAAAAATGTAGTATTGTTTGTAATTTCATATGTACAAGTGTTAAGGTGATAAAGAAAATATTAATAACATAGGAGATCAAGTTTCAGACTTAAGCGTCACTTGAATAGGATTGTGTGACGCTCCAAGAAGGAATTAATAAAGAGTACACATACTTTTCTGCTGGTTTATTCAAATTTTCTGAAAGGTCAGATCAATTATAACAATCATTTCGAATTGATTGATAAATTAAAATTGTGTATTATTGTTTAAAAATTTATCTAAATCAAATACTCGACTATTTCAGAGTATGTTACAAGTGTGGTTCAGATCCAAGAAAATTGATACAGTGTGGAAAATTGAAAAAAATTCTTGGAAATTTTGTATTCTTCCTTATTCATAGCAATTAATAAATTCCACTTAATAAATCCTTAAAAATTGAACAAATAAACTACTATATTTAAATTTGTATCATTCATAAGGTTATTAAATTATACTCAATATTATTTAATATATATAAAAGTTATTTTTTTAAATATTTAATATTAATATTGATTTCAAATTGATTGTGCAGGAATTTTTTATACTTATATACAATGGTTAGTACGGACACAGATCTCAAAGAACTCGGGGGATTGAATACTGGAGAAAAACTTGGAAATGATGAAAAGGTTCAAATGAAAAAACAGCTTGGATTATTAGAAGGAGTCGCTATTATTTTAGGAATCATTTTTGGTTCAGGTATTTATGAATATTATTTTTATTTTTATTATTTCAAAATATCTGTAAACGTATTATTTGAAATATTTCCCAATACCGTTATGCATGCATAAGTTACACGTGTAATACAATAAAACTCTGATGTCAATCAGTAGTAATGCTATGTTATCTTCGTTAAATTTTTTCCACATGTTGATAATCAAGATAAATATTTACTCTCTAAATTGAGTACAACAGAATTGGTCATATCACTAATCAATAGTAATTAATAAATAATGAAAAATTATTATATTATTGTTAATCTTAGTGAAACAATCTGTGATAAAACGATTTATCACAATCTGTGCTTACTCAATGAGAGTATCTTCTTTTTAATTACTTTTATTTTCATGTAGGAATCTTCATATCGCCGAAAGGAGTAATTCAAGAAGTAGGAAGCGTTGGTTTATCGTTAGCAGTATGGGTTTTATGTGGATTATTGTCCATGATAGGAGCTTTATGTTACGCAGAGTTAGGTACAAGCATACCTAGAAGTGGTGGTGACTATGCTTATATTCATGAGGCCTTTGGTGAATTGCCTTCGTTTTTGTATTTATGGGCAGCTAATTTAATTTTTGTGTAGGTTTAAAATATTTAAAGCAATAATATGGTTATTATAACATTTCTAGATGATTAAATTTTTATTTAATTTTTCAGACCTACTACAAATGCAATTATGGCTTTAACATTTGCAGAGTATATTCTGCAACCTTTTTTCCCTAATTGCCCCATACCTGACAGTAGTGTGCGAATAATTGCTGCTTTAACGATATGTAAGTATTGATTTTTTGTGCAAAAACACATCTTTCACAATAAATAAGTGATTTGAATGACTAACATAAAAAATATTCCAGGTATTTTGACTTTTATTAATTGCTACGACGTTAAAGAAACGTCAAAAATGCAAAATATTATAATGTTTGCAAAAATAGCAGCATTGGGTATTGTTATAATTGCTGGGTTAGCATGGCTGGCATTAGGTAAGCATAAATTTTTTCTTTCGATGAGATTATTACATTGATAATACTTTCAGTGTTAAATTTCACAATCGACTTTTTCCCATAGAATTATTATCAAGTTATTGATTATGGATCATTACAGGACACGTTGAAAATTATACTAATATTTTCGATCAGACAACAACAAATCCAGGAAAAATTGCAGTTGCATTCTATGCTGGAATTTTTTCATATTCTGGCTGGAATTATCTTAACTTTATGACTGAAGAACTCAAGGACCCTTACAAGTAAACATTTGCTATGTTATACGTGATATTTTGAATATTTCATTTTTATTCGATCATTATGAAAAATAATTATTTTAGGAATTTACCTCGAGCCATTTATATTTCATTACCATTAGTAACTCTGATTTATGGTTTGGCCAATGTTGCTTATCTTGCAGTTCTTAATCCGACTGAAATGATCGCATCACGAGCGATTGCTGTGGTAATTAAATAATGATAAAAATAATTTACTTCATGATATTCATCCTATTAATCAATATCAATTTTTCTCAAATTAAATTATTTTTTTAGAGCCTTGGAGATCGAGTTCTGGGACCAATAGCATGGATAATGCCTCTTCTTGTTGCAACTTCAGCATTCGGCGGCTTAAGTGTTCATATCATGACTTCTTCAAGGATGTGTTTCGTTGGTGCCAGAAATGGTCATTTTCCGGCTATGTTAAGTCACATTAATGTTACAAGATTTTCTCCTACGCCTGCTTTAGTATTTTTGGTAAATACATTGTTTATCTTCAATTACTTTCGTTTACATCATCTGTTATCAATGGTCGTTTTATTTTTTTTATGTTTTAGTGTATTTTATCACTACTTATGTTGTGTACAAGTGACGTTTTCGTATTGATAACATACTGCAGCATCGTGGAATCGTTCTTTATAATGTTATCTGTTACTGCAATCCTCTGGTTGAGATACACCCGACCAAATATGGTCCGACCGATAAAAGTAAATACAAATGTCAATAGCATCATTTGTATGTATGTATATATGTTTAACATATCGATATCTAAATTATTAATTATTTTTTTAGATTCCTCTTTGGGTTCCCATATCTTTTGTTATTATATGTGCATTTCTAGTTGTTGTTCCATGCTATACTCGACCTTTTGAAGTAGGGATGGGAGCCTTTATTACAGCTTCTGGCATCCCAGCCTATTTCTTTGGATTTGTGTGGACAAAGAAACCCGCATGGTTATTAAATTTCGACAGTAAGTATCAAGAAAAGTAAAACATCACAATAATATATCTTGTTATACTCATTCATTCGTAATAAATTTTCAGTGAAAGTTACGCATACTGTTCAGAAACTATTCATGTCAGCGAGAGAAGAAAAAGATGATTGATGTCTATTGATAAAAATTGTGTGCATTAAATATTTTTTGCAAATTTTATAGTTTATCAAATTGTTGTCAAGAATGAAAAATAATGAAATTATAATTAACATTCGAAACTTCAATGAAAAACTTCTTTTTCATTTTCAGGAAATAAAAAATTTTTTGACAGATAAATTTAAATTTTTGCATGATTATATTTATTGTATTAAATATATGTATTATATTATCTTTATTTATAACTCCTAATTTGAAACAATTTATATATTCTTTTGTAGCTTCAACTTTTTAAATATTTTCAATGAAAGGATTTATTGATGATGTAAAATACCTGTGTTATTTATATACAATAAAACTAATGTACTCTTTATCAATTCATATTTATAATTTTTTGATTGTTATATATCAAACAATATAGTCTCTCTTTAATTTCGTATTGCATGATTGATCGAAATAAATATTGAATATTTATTAAAATAAAAGACCAATTTAGAACTATTAATAATCAACAAATGAATTACTGTACATAAAAAACGGTGAAATTTATGGAATGTTTCAATTCATTTTTATCCTTTCATTTTGTTGGCTAAAAAGAAATCCTATTGAGCTACAATTATAGCCATTCATAATTGTATTAATAATAATTATTTAAAACTGATAATGTTATTATACATCACATTAATGTATATCCTCGGGATTGAACATTCCTTTAGCTCGTCTTAGAATTGAATCTTTACTCGCATCATAAGGATGATCCTTGCTAGGAATTTCCAATACTGCAGGTACAGGTTGTGTGTGACCATCAATCACATGACGAATCATTTCTGCAACCTGCGAATTTGAAACATTTTTTTTAACTTCAAACTTTGAATTGAAAAATAATAATAAATGTAAAATAATAGTTACATTTTGGTTGATGAGAATGATGTCAATGTCATCACGTTTTACAAATTGTTTGAATGTATCTTCAATATCACCCACAGCTGTGTCTAGTAAACAAATGAAAATATAATATTTTATTGATGCCTATAATAAATAAATGAATATTGAAATTTTTTTGTTAACAACATTTAGTAACGAATTGAATAGAATTAATGGTGGCTTACTTTTGTCAACGACCATAAAATTGGGTTGTCGATTTTTGTTAATTTCACCTACTCCGCCCAGCAGGAAGCCAACACAAGTGTCCTTGAAAGATTTATAAGGATTATTCTGTTAAAATATATTGACATGAACCATCATAAAATTTACCTCATCACCAATAACAGCAATAAGTTTTCCTTTTCCTGCGGAATGAAGTGCCATTACTGAGTATTTTTATTTAACAGATTTTAATTATCAAATTTTATCGAATATTAATGATTTAATGTAAATTTAAATACTTGTTTATTTATATTCAAAGTATTTTATTCACAATAAAATAATCAGATATCTGTCACACCTATCTCGTGACTATTTTCAATCCAACCATGAACAAAGTAAATCGATAGATAACCTTTTCATGAGGAATTAATTTTTCTGTCATCAGAGGTCGGATATGGAAAATTCTAAATATTGTTATTTATCGTTACCTTGTTTTGCACCACCAGTTGACTTAATTTGCAAAATTTACGTGTATTTATTGAATTGAAGGAGAATTCAATCAGTATTCGCATGAATTAATAATTCTATCAATGGCAAAATTTGTCATCTGTTATCACAAATAAAAAGAATAAATACTTACGATCACTAATTACTGACGAATCTTCTCTAGGGGGTGGTCTTTTTCGTGCTTCCATTTGTTTTTATAATGTTTTAATTTTAAATTAAAATTGCAAAAGTTTGTATTTGTTAAGAATTTAAAGATATATCTTTATTTTACTTCAACAATCATCAATAACCAACTTCTACTGATAAACTACGTTTAAAAAATTAAAGTGAGTGAATAAATTTTTTTCGATAACTCTAATCACTTTAACATTATTTAGCATTAATTTAAAGTGTAAAAGTAATTCATTTACGTCACTCAATGTTTCCCTGAGAGCTCTTAAAGACACTGGACTAGAAAATTGGCATCGTATGTTTTAATAAGTGTTGCTGGCAATTATCCAAAGCTAAATAGTGACTAACAGTCAAGAGATGCTTAAATTAAACTTTTAACCTTGATATTTTATTATAATTTGCACTATTCATTTACTTCTTGAAAGGTTTAATTATGTTTATTGGTTTTGTTCATTTTGCAGATTCAAAATGCCTGCACATGTTAATCATCAAGTAAATGCATCGAGGAAGACTTTTCAAACTCTTTATGAAATCTCCAAATTATTAAATACCCATTTGGATCCAGCAACTTTGAGTATTTGCATTCGATTGTGTGAAAATGGTGTCAACCCGCAAGCATTAGCGACGGTTGTAAAAGAATTACAAAGAGAAGTGAAAGCATTAGAAAGTTCACAATCAGAATCAAGTAAAGGAGGATTCAAATGATTTTATTTTTCCTAAAAATTATGTCCATGTACAATAAGTTGTAAATAATACAAAAATTCATTTCGTAATCTACTGGAATGTAAAGAGTTCTCAAACTTCAAATACAAGTGAATTTTTATCATAATATAGGTACATATTTAGACACAACTTACTTTGATATTACACAAAAAAAAAATGCCTTGGCCATAAACCATTCTATATAAATAACTTGAGTAAAAAAAATTAATTGCATAACTTAAGCTAATAATTGAAAAGATGTAATTTTAAAAATCTTTTAATGTATTTATATTTAGAAATAATTGTCATTTCTTGCATATATCAAATACTCAGATAGAAAAATGATTTAATTACAGTGTACCACAGCCAAAGGAATATACTTGAACGATACTATAATTCATCTTTCTTTTTCTCCTGAGATTGCTACAAAAAAAATATAATTCATTATATTCTCATGTACTGTTATGAGTTTTTCAAGAAATCAGCTGTTTTACCTTTTTAGAGTTTTTGCCATAAAATTGTTGGCTGCCTACAGTTACAAGTTCTAACTCTGGTTGATCGATGAGGTAATTTTTAGCATCCACTACTTGAGAGCCTTCTTTGAACATAAAGATTGCTCTTCTGGGTTCGATAGGATATCTAAAAAATATTTCTAGTAAAGCACTATGCGAAATATTTATTTAAAGTTGACAAAAAGTTTATACCTTTCAGCAACTATGTGATTATTTTGTAAACTTCCTTGCCAAATACGTAATATATTGTCAGCTTCATCTTCAGATAAGTCTTTTCTAACATCGACGAACATCATAACACTTTTTCCCATATTTGTGACACGCAACAGATTATCCGGATTAGATGTGTCCATCTAAAAAACATACTTTATTATCTAATTGTTTATCACACATTAGATTGATCTTACTGATAGATTTTTCATCATTTTACCTGAGATAAATCAATCTTTGGAGCTGGACGAAGATGTTCGGGTAATTCATCTGGTTCTAAAGGTTCTTCATTTTCCTAAAATTGAAATATAAATTGTAAAATACATTTCTATATTGGTACAATTAATTGTTTCATAAAATTACCTCCCACTGATCTAATAATCTTTCCATGTCAGCATCAGTCATGTCTCTAACATCTTTTTTAGATTTAATTTTTGTATCACAGTATGTAACGAAAAATGAACTAATAAAAATTACCGACATTAACTTCATAGTAGCGAATTTTGTAAACTTTGGAATATTTTTTCAAACTTTTTTTTTCTTATAACTTTAGGTTATAAACGTGTAAACACTGTATATAAACACGTTAGCCTTTTTTGTGCCACAGCTATGGCGAATGACGAAGGTGGCTTCTCAAGGTGGCGCGTGCTTGTGCAACCGGAGTCGCCATAAATTACCATAGAAGTTCAATTTGAATGAACGGCTAAATAGTAAGATGGAGACTCATCAAAAAGGCATGTGATAGCATTGCCTGATAGAGTAGACCCTCTCAGTAGTTTCCTCTCTGGTTTACAGTCGAACATACCCGCTTAAATTACTGAATGCATATGTAGATAAAAAATCAGGGATAGGATTTCCCGCAATTTTCCAGGAATGACTAAGATTTATATATAATTTATTAATATAAATTGATCTGAAAAATTTTAATCAGTATAAAAGTATCAAAATACATCATTCTCATATAATTATTGAAAATTTTAAAAATATTTCTTAGATAATTAAACTATATACGAATTGTGATTTTTGACTATTTTTGACCTCCTATTAGGAAGTTATTGCAATCATATACTAATTTATGAAATTATTTAATCAATAACAATAATCTGTTTAATTCATTAACTGTAAGTATTGCAGTCTTCATATAGTTGATAAAATGATTATTAATAGAAGTACTCATGTAATATCGTTTAAAAAACAATACAAGTAAGAAAAAACTAATTGCTAGCCTCAAATAATCCAGGATTTATGAAGCAATGTTTAAAAACACAGTTTTTGAGAGACGGCGTTTGGCAGGTAGTGTTGCTCGGTCCGGTGAATTTCGACGTGGTTGAAACCTCACTAATTTTTTGATCAACCTATGGTTTCATTATTGATTTATGATTGATACGATACATACATATTTTTTTCAACGTACAATGTAGAAATAAAAAGTATGTACATCTTACCAAATTAAATAAATCTTCTACGTGATGTTCATACGCATACTGTGCAAAAACTGAACAGCAAAATTGAATAAACCAACTACCACTCTCGCAGCCTCGATATGCTACACAATCAGGCAATGTTGAATGGGCTATGAACATATCAGAATAATCAAAATGTGATTTTCCAATTCCCAAATTAAACCGGAATGGAATATTTCTGTACATGCCATTCCTGACAATACTTTGTTCATTTCCTCCTCTGAAAATATATAATTTTTAAAATCAAATTTTTATCTTATTTTATACGTATTTATTTATTTATTTGTTCAACTAATTAAGTATCGTATTTACCTGCATATTTGAAAAATAAATACTTTTGGTTTATTTTTTAAATATTCACATTTTTCGGGTACAAAGTAATCAATTATCTCATTGCAAGATACTACTAAATTTGAACCGTCGTGGTAATCGTCACCGTAGACAACTGAATCATCTCCAATTGAATTCATATTTCCGTGACCACATACAATGATAAATACTGAGTCTACAAATTGTAATTCAGCTTTTTGTGAGAATTCCTTAATTGTTTGTCTTATTTGCTAAAATTAAAAAATTTTAGTAAATATGAATGAAATATAAATAATAATTTTCATTGTACATACTTCGGCAGTAAGATTACGTTCAGACTGAACTTTGAAACCCATTTGTTTAAAGAGATCTTTTAAATTTTTATCATCAAGTTCAGCAGCTGCTCGATACAGGTTTGCAGGAGCGTAATTTATCAATGATATGAGTAAGACTAGCCCACGTGGATTACTTCGCATCCTATATGTACCAATTGGATTTTCATTAGAATTTAAATCATAAAATCTTGTAGATTTTTTCACTATAATTGATGACGATCCATCTGCATTTGATTCATCCGAATCGCTAACAATATAAAAATTAGCTTCAAAAATTATACAAATCATTAAATAGAAATTTGTAATTGAAAATATAAATAAATGCTTTTCTTTTAAATATTAATGTAAATGGAGCATTTTAAATTATAAGTATACATACTTCTGTAATAATTCAACACAAGGATGTTGATCAGTTGCTTTTAAACCATTAATTAAATTACTATAAGCATAAGGACCGCGTGTCTTCACTTCCAATAAAATATTCCTTTTTGTGTCTGGATCATTCAAACTATTCTGTAAACAAACAAACCATTGATTTATATATAACTATAAAAATAGTTAGATATTTTATGTAAATAATAAGTGACAATATATACCTCCCACTTAGGAATTCCTGGATCATTTTGATAGAAAATAATGTCTTTTATTTTAGGCCACAACTTTTCCATATCTACTAAATCTACAAGTTGATCAACATTTCGATCTATTCTCTCACGATCTTTAGGTTGCATGATTTTTTTTATATTGCACCAAATAATTAAATTGTCACAACTCCAATTATTTAAGCGATTTTTGAAAATAAAGACTTAATTATAACCTAACTTCAGTTAAAGTGACAAAGTAGCATATCAATTAACAACAACAGGCGATGCATCGTAATCAAAACTAATTTTGTTAATTTTATTTTTAAATAAAATGCAATGTTAAGTTGTTTTGAATATTGCAGATATATAATATAATTTATTTAAAATAAAATACGACATGGATAAACTTAATTTATTGTCACTATTTTTCTTGAAAACTTCACGAAGAAAAGACATTGCAAACCCTTTCCATTAGCACACATGTGCATTCAAGGTTACATGTACACTTGTTGCAAAAGGTCATGTAGTTTCCTTTATTTTCTACATAAGTTTATATACATTCCGCCTCTTCGGGATTTCAATCATACTACATGTGTAACATATGTTGTGTCTACCTTACTAACAAATAAGTTTTTCAATCAGATGCAATTAAAAAGAAAGTTCATAAAACTGATTATTGTTACAGATAAGTCTAAGGATCTCATACAAAATGTTTTGGGAAAACTTGTTGGGAAATTCCAGCCATTAAAATTACCAGGTGTTCGCCATGAAAGGTTATAAGTGCCAAATATCTGAAAATGTGAAAAAGGGACCGCTTGAAGGTAATAAAACCATACAACGATTTTATTTTTGAGTAAAGAGCAGGTACAGATAAAACGAGCTTCAAGTACCAGCAATAAACAATCTTTAGAAAATTATGCAGAAAATTTTTCTGGTGTCAGGTAGAGGTATTATATATCATTTCGGATTATTACAAGTCTTGTGCTCATCTTGTGCTCATGCTATCTTTAAGCAGGTAGTTTTGGTCTTTACCGATGGATTATACTCTCTTCGTGCCTTCTGATAATCCTTACGCATTAGCATAGTTTTCATTTACAACTCACTCACAGATGTTCAATTTGTGCTATGATTTATTAGAATCTGTATGAAACTTATTTTATTTATTTAATTATTTATTATTATTATTATTATTATTATTATTTTATATTTTTTTATTTTATATATATATATTTTCTTTTATTTTTTTTATATTTTTTTAATATTTCTTTTATATTATTTTTTTTTTATTCATTATATTTATATATATATAATGAGTATATAAAAAAATAATATATTATTATTAAATTATAAATTATTATTAATTTATTATTTTTAATTTATGAATTAGTTCTAATATAAATATAATATATCACATAGAGAAAACCGGTGGATTTTATTCTCGTGCCTTCTGATAATCCCTACGTATTAGCAAAGTTTTCATTTACAACACACTCACAGGTGTTCAATTTGTGCTATAATTTATTAGAATCTGTATGAAACGTATTTTTTTTTTATATTTATTTATGTTATATTTATATTAAATTTTTTATTTTATATATATGTATATATATATAATATTTATATATATATTTGAAAAAAAAAATATGTATAAAAAAAATTTATATATTTTTTTCTTATTTTTATTATATTTTTTTTACATTTATTATATTTATTATTGTATTTATTTTATATTATTTTTTTTTCTATTTATTATATTTATATATATAATTAATATCAAAAAAATTAATATATTATTATTAAATTATAAATTATCATTAATTTATTATTTTTTTATTATTTTTAATTTATAAATTAGTTCTAATATAAATATAATATATTATATAGAGAAAAAAATAATAATTTTTGTGTATAATTTTTTCAGAGCAATGAACTGGGTAAGATGCATTTTATATTCTTTGATGTGTGGTCTCGATTGGTGAGTTTTTCAATGATTTAATTTGTGTTGTTCAGTACTATAATGATACATTTTTATGCATAATTCCGTATGGGAATTTACAACATGCCTACATCGAGAATTTAATCAAGATTCTAAGCAATTTTTTTCAACTTTATTTGCAATTATTGACAAATCATTGGCATAAATATTTTTTAAAAATATAATATTGGCTTTCATCAGCATTTGCTAAAATTTTAAACCGTTTTCATATAGCATAATGAAGTATTCAGCTGAAAGTTTATCATTATTAACTTAGAAACAAATATATTTGTTCAAAAAATTTTCAATAATTTAAAATTTAAAATCTATTTGATTCCCAGGATTATTCTAAAGTCACATGATATTTCATGATTTTTGAGTGGGTACTGAACATCTCAGAAGGACCAATCCTGACTTAGCTCTCCCTACTTGCTGGTGATGTACGCGTGCGTGCGTGCGCGCGACGAAGAATGTGGAGTAGGAGTAAAATGCACATAGTGGGGAAAATGCATCCATTAAAACGGAGCGACTCTAGTCATAGTCACCTATATTGTTGTTTACAGTCTCAGGACGCGCAACAACTAAAACTCTCAGTGAATATATCGTGGAAAGTATTCTCTGAATAAAAATCTGCATTTGTGTTTGATTTGTGAATTGTTTACTTAAGTAACTGTGCAAATTTGTTGGTGATAAGTGCTTTACATCTTCATATTACGTGCAGTACTTAAAGTGCATTACTCTGTTGCCAAGGCGACTAATAATGCCTTAAGGAGTTTACATTTAATTGTGATTCTTTATTTTTCTTTATTTTGAAAAGTGTTGAACGATATGAATTTTTCATTTATGAACCAAATTGCAATGGATTTCTCATTATTGAGCCACTATGAAGGACCTGTTGAAGGTGATGTCGGCGAAGATCAAAATTTGCTGTGTAAGTAGTCTCATATTTTTTGACAAAACAAAATTTGACTATCAACTAGTATTGCTAAAAATCCTTATCTCGATAATGTTTATCTATGAAAGTACTGTGGTTTATGTAGCTACTTAGTCATCTAGTGAAATTTGTTATTCTATTGTTTATTATAGGGGAAGAACCTCATTATGGTTTGACAAGTGAACAATATTTACAAGGCACTGAAGAATATGGCCAGGAATATAATGGAGCAGAATTTCGTGAAACACAGAGTGTACTTGCTGACGGTGGTGACAGTTTCGGAGTATCTACTGTTACATTTGATACCATGGAAGAACTTTTGTGGATGGGCAATCAAGGGGTATTTATTTTATTATTTCCCACAATCTTGTAGTTATACATTGAATAACTAACCTATAATCATGAAATATTTAATCATTTATCAGTAACAACATTCATTGTTATCATCCTAAATTACAAAAATTGTTTTTCAGGGCCATGTAACATCTTATTATGGTAGTGGTCTGCAAAAATTTACATCTTTTCAAGTTCATGCTACCCAGGAAATTAGACAAATTCATGCGATAGATGAAGCGATCCTTTGTCTTACTCAGACTTCTCTTCGAGGTCAATTACGCCGAGGCATTCCATTATTTACTCATACGTAAGCAATTATTTCAAATCAATATTGGATATCGATCATTATTAATTATCTTCATCGAATTTTTAGCAATAATATTCGTTGTATTATGTCATTACAGATCGTCGAACATGATTGATATGCAATGCATGCTTCAATATGGTTCTCAATTATTAATGGGAGGCCATCAGGATACAATAATAAATTTTGATCTCTCTCATGGAAAAGAAACAGGATCAGTACATGTTGGCGAAAATGGGTGTGCAATCATGAGGCGAAATAACAAATTTATTTGTACGGGAAATCCAGCCGGCCGAATAGATTTGCGAGATCCTTATTCTCTATCTATTGAACACACTCTAGAAACTCACAGTGGTTCTTTGAGTGACTTTGATGTCCAAGGAAATTATTTGGTGACTTGTGGATTCAGTAATAGTCGACAGGGTCTTTCAGCTGATAGATTCTTGATGGTCTATGATCTAAGACAAATGCGAGCTCTTACTCCTGTTACAACACTCGTATATCCGTTCTTGTTGAAATTTTTGCCGAGCTACTCCAGTCGTCTTGCTGTGGTTTCGCCTCTGGGACAGATGCAGTTACTTGATACTATTTATGCTGACGTACAGCCATCGCACACTTGTCTTTACCAAGTAATTTTCATTCTAATTAATTCATTAAAAATTTCTATTTATGTTACCAACAGGAATTAAATAATAAATATATTTGTTTTAGGTTGCAACTGGTGGTGCAATGGCCCTGTCGTTTGATGTGTCTCCAACATCAAAATGTTTGGCTTTTGGAGATGCTGCTGGATCTATCCATTTATTGGCTACCAACAATCCAAATTTTCAATTTAATACTTATTCAAGACCTACAGAATTCGCTGATCCAGTAGAAACTCTTGATACTATTGCATATGATGATTATATAACATCTTTAAGTTCGGTACCGATGATATACAATGGTGATTCATTAGCTAGTGATTGGCCAGAACAGTTTTTGACGAAAACTTACAGGTATTTTTTATGTTCATTATATAAACTTTTTTATCTTTATATACATATTGAAAAAATCTTTAATCAGTTGGTCTAACAGACTTCAACTACAACTCTTGCATGTGAATACATAAATTTGCATTTTTTATTAAATTGTATGCTTATTTTTGTAAATAACTGTTTTCTTTTAGTTCATTATAATTCGCAGTAAATTTAATATTCAAAATTTTGTTTGTTTATAGGAGAACACCAGCAATAGATCCAGAAATATTAAGGACAATGAAGATGCAGGGAACTATCGGTTACGCGCCAAATCCTCAGTCTTTCCGCAGAAATCAAGTGAGAAATTATTACTCTCCCAAATTTCTATCATATGTATCCTATGCTTCCTGTCCTCCATTCCGTTAAACTTTTATCAATTTTTTCCATAACTTTCCAAAGACTTTCGGAATTTAAGTATTAATTATGAAAAAAAAAATATACAATGTGATATTTTTTTATCCATTCTAGTGCCTATAAGTATCAGGGATTGAATAAGTAGTGTAACTAATAATTATTTATCTAAGAAACGTGATAGATAGTCAGAATATTTAATATATACAGTATTATATATTTTTTCGAGTAATTATATCAATATTTTGGTAAATTTGTAGTAGAGCGTTGACTTTGTAAAAGAACTTAGGCTCCATAGTGATAAAAAAATAGGAGACACATATGTACTATAATTCGTTGCATATATGTGTAAAGTTGTATATCAATTGTGTAGAACCTAATAAAATTTCAATATCATAACCGACTTGTTCATACTTTCGAGATTGATATGCATTCCTTATATTGACTATTTATATTGGAACAATACGTACGGAAGCTCTCCAAATTACAGCTGTATAAACGAAGAAAGTTAATTTCGGGAGCATAGTAATTTTATTGGTAATTCATTCGTTAATTGATATATAAAACATATATTTATGAATGTAATCATTTATCGTTTTTTTCAGATTCCTTATAATTATGAAAAACGAACTGGTTTGGTATCAAAAACATTTTCTGGAGAATCGAGATCCAAAACTGAAGATGGTACTTTCATTGCTATTCCTAAACGGTATCGTAAAATTGAAATGAAATACTCTCGGCTGGGATACGATGAGTTTGATTTGGACCAGTACAATTTGACCAGCTTTTCTGGACTAGAAGCCACATTGCCCAATAGCTATTGCAATGCTATGTTACAAGTAAGCTATGATTTCAAATTACTCAATATTATCTCATAAAAATTTGCAAATAAATCATGATTATTAATTTCATTTTTTTTTTGTTATAGTTACTCTACTACTGTGAACCAGTTCGAGTAGCTCTCATGTCTCACGCATGCCAAAAAGAGTTTTGTTTATCTTGTGAATTAGGCTTCCTTTTTCATATGCTGGACATATCAAAAGGTATTCCATGCCAAGCTGCTAATTTTCTTCGAGCATTCAGAACGGTTCCAGAAGCAGCTGCTTTAGGACTTATACTCAGTGATTTACATCCTGAAGCCAAGAAGAAAACTAGTTTGATTAGATTAACACAAGTAAGTTATTTAAATGACAATTTATTCTTATAATCATTACATTTTATAAAATACTAAAGATTAATTACTTTAATATTCTAGAGCTGGAATAGATTTATTCTACATCAAATGCATTATGAGATCTGGGAAACAAAAAAACGGCAACAAGAAGAAAAAGAAGCTGCGCGATTGAAATCAGAATTGAAGAGTGTACCATTTGTATATAATGAACAAGATTTTCCAAGTATTCTGCAAGATCTGGGGTCACGTTACAAAAACCACGATTCCGAGAAAAAGAAGAAAAGAAGAAAGGAAGAGGATGGTAAATATATATGGATTGCAGCTAAAGGTAAACACAATTTATGTGTAACCTTTGCATCCATTTTTTTATTTTTTTATATTTATTATATAATTTACTTTTTTTTAAATTTTTCTACTTGCAATAACGTAATAACAATTGAATTATTTAATTATTTTACATTGTGTCAACCAGTATTAATAATCACAGTGAATAATCTGAGTTCTGTTATATTATTATTTACAATTCAAGGCAATCGGTTAGATAACTTATTACAAAATATTTTAATGCACTAATACAGTTACAAAATTAATATCACTCATTGGTGGCAAAATATTGATTAATTTATCAGAAATTATTTAAACTTATAATTTAGAAATCGTATATTTAAATTAATAATTTTCTATTTTCATCTGTTATAGAAAATGCCAATAAAAAAACTGTAGAAGGAAATGAATCACAAGAAGAAGATACTGACATCAGTCGAGTATTTGGAGCTGAACAAATTCACATTCATCGTTGTCTCAAATGTGGTCAAGAAGCTTCTAAGCAATCTATAATGCTTCAATGTAATCTAGTATATCCAGAAGCAGTAAATGCAAGTAAGTAATCGCACAATTTCTTATAAATACTTAGATGATTTTATGATAATTATATTCATTGATTTACATTATTCTCTAGATGAAGAAATTCCTTTCACGAAAATATTATCCCAAAGTTTAAAGCCTGAGAAAATAACTCCAGCCTGGTGTGATGATTGTCAAAAATTCAGTCCTACATTACAATCTCGTCGGATCACTAAATTACCACAAGTTTTAGTACTTAATTGTGGATTGGATACACAAAAAGTAAGTTATACCTTTACTATCAATTGAAAATTTTAAATTATTTTCAAAATTGTTTACATAAATTTTAACACCTGTTCTTTTTTTTCAAAGGAAAAAGATTTTTGGCAAACGCAAATGGATATTATCGTTCATAAAGCTATGAATGGAAAAGAAAATAGCCCATCGTCAAGTCCAACGCCAAGTCCAGTACCAAGTACAACGAAAATGTGTCGTTATGGAGTGAATTGTGCCCGCAGTGATTGCAGATTTAGACATACAGGAAAGGATTCTGGTATGCATCTAAAAAACCGATTTTTTTCAATCATTCAATAAAAGAAAAATTTCTTATTACAATGATTTTATTTTGTATTGTATTATTATAGATCAAAGTCAGTCTGTGCTTTCATCAGTTCCAGTCCAAATAACGACGCCGCCCAGTCATTATTACTATCAACATTCATGGATACCACATTGTATTGAAGTATCTATTGACGGCAATGGTGAACTTTCAGTAGAAGAATTAAATAAAATTGATCGTGAAGTTTCAAGTAGTGCACCGTTGATTGTAGAAAATGGTCAACATGATAGTGCAGTGAAACCAGATAGTGTACAGAACAAAAAAGAAAGTGAAGTCAGTGAAGAGAAGAAGTCTGTTGAAGAAACAAAAGAAGAAAAAGAAGAACCTAAAGAAAACAGTGAGACAGTGAACCCTGAAGTAACAAATCAAGGACAGAAAATGCAGTACACTCTTTCAGCTGTCGTTTGTTATATTGATGATAAAACGAGTGAAGATCGAAGGCATGTGGTTGCATTAATTCGTGTTGGACCTAATTACCATGAACGATCAACGGGTAGTGCAGTCGCGCAGTGGTATCTGTTTAATGACTTCAGTATATCTGCAGTTACACCCCAAGAAGCAGTATGGTTTAATTTAGATTGGAAAGTACCATGTGTTTTGCATTATACAGCAGTTCCAGCCCCGGAACCAGCTACCTTTGTTAGCCCATTAACTTACAACGTGTTTGGCGAGGATAAATGTATAGCCCGCAGTGGTGGAACTCGGGGTATTACTTTTACGCCATTAACTACTGATGAAATGCCAAAAAAAGGTACGTTAGACATTTAATTCGTTAGAGATAAAATATAAAATATAAATTTATGTCCAAGATTAATTAGATAAATCGATTTTTTTTTTAGGTGAATTAGTAGGCATTGATGCTGAGTTTGTTACAATTAACCCAAGAGAATCTGAAATACGAAGTGATGGCAAAATGTCAACTATTAAACCCAGCCATATGTCTGTTGCACGAATTACATGTATTCGCGGGTAAATAATTTATATCAATTTAATTATTCATTAAAAAAAAAAGTTGAATTCGAATATTAATTTAAATGCTTTTGTTTTCCAGTCAAGGACCTCTGGAAGGAACTCCCTTCATCGACGATTACATCAGTACTCAAGAACAAGTTGTAGATTACCTTACTAAATTTAGTGGTATTCAACCTGGAGATCTAGATGCCAATTTCAGTAGTAAACATTTAACTACGTTGAAGTCAACGTATCAAAAGCTAAGATTCCTTGTGGATAATGGAATTATTTTTGTTGGTCATGGATTAAAAAATGATTTCAGGTAAATTTTTTTATCAATAAGCAATTTAATTTATTTACATGAGTTATTAAACTAATTCAATGCATAGTATTGTTGATATTAATTGTTATTTTTGTCTTTTTCAGAGTAATCAATTTAGTTGTTCCACCAGAACAAATAATTGATACAGTTTTACTATTCCATTTGCCACATCGTCGCATGGTATCCCTTCGCTTCCTTACATGGCATTTCTTCGGAAGAACGATTCAATCAGAAACTCATGATTCAACTGAAGATGCACGGGCTGCATTGGAATTATATCATAAATACAAAGAATTAGAGTCTTCTGGCAAAATATATGATGAACTCAAAAGATTGTATGAAGTTGGAAATGAGTTACAATGGAAGGTACGTGAATCATAATCCATAACTGCTAATAACAATCTTTTCGTATGATGAACATTCATTAATATTTGCCTGTATTTACTTGATAGGTTCCAGAAAACCAACCTTTAGCTGATTTTCCGATCAAAGCTGAGTAAATGAGGGATTTCATCCATTACGTAACTTCTGCATATGTACAATTCAAAAGGAAATTAATTGAACCAGAGATTATTTTTGGATAAGGAACTTCATTACGGGTATAAAAGTAATTTTTACTACGTGCTGTATAAAAATATTAGTTTAGGAAAAATTCATTTTTTACTTAATTAGTTTATTAAGGTGTATTTAAACATTTACACCATTATACATAGCATAATTTAATGAAATCACAGAACAAGTTTTAAATAGTGAACAATTAGCCGCAATGGGAAAGATAATTTTTTTTTTTATATTTACTACTTCAAGTTTCCAAAATATTTATTTTTGATCATTATTACAAGGTAGATTTTTACAAAGGTTCTGTCCAATGTTTGCTTGAAAAAAGTTTTTATATTTTTACCGCATAATTTATCACATTTTTTATTTTTTATTTCTTGATATATTTTGTTGTCAATTACTCAATTATTGTAATGTCAGTACTTTGCAGTTTATACAAAGGGAAAAAGGTCATTAATTTATATACATATATACTCATTTGTAAATAGAATGCAAAACTCATGCTATCAAGCAAAGAAGAGCTGTTATTTATATAAAAGAAATGAACTTTTGTATAATTTTATTTTTTTCGAATTAATATATGCATTCCGAATTCAAAGTCAATAGTTTGTAAATAGACAAGTGAATTTCATAATATTATATATTTACACAATTTTATTTAATTTATTGTATATAAACATTTTATACTCTTTATATATAATTGTTTTAATGCAAAAAATTTTAAATTGTCTTTTCTACTGTCACTCATTTGCGGCAATTGTCAATCAAATCAGTGTATAGAATCATAAGTAGCGAAAAATTAATCGATTGAAAAAAATTAAATATATTTTACAGACTAAAATTATTGTACACTGTTTAACTATTTTTATATGTGCTTTAAATTAGAAACAACAAAAACGAAATTCTTAAATATGATGTAAATTGTATCGATCGATAGAAAATATATTTTTGAAATTATAAGTGAGAGAGAGTCTAGTATTATCTAATATTAGACTTAGGTTATGGTTTAGTATAAGTAATGATAAGAGTTATTTACGTCTGTAACTGGTACAAAATACTATAATTTACAATAAATTTTTTACTTACAATATACATGGTTGAACATACTTATTTTAATTATTTAAGAACCTTGATTTAAGATTAACAATAATTCTACAATCAAATTGAAAGACTATGCGTAATTTTCATTGAATTTTTTGTTCATTCAATATGAAATAATATCGATTATATATGATACGTCGTTTAGCTATTTAATAGCATGATAAAAATTTTATCTATTATAATTAGTCATTATAAAAATTGAAAAAAAAAATATAAAAAATTAATAATAAGCTAAATAACATTTACTTGAAAATCAAGTTATGGCCATACAATTATTATGTACAATTTTTGAAATTTTAAAGATTATAAAAATTTTCTATTGATTCAATCATTGTACAACAATGTAAAATCTTGCGTCTAGTCAGCTGAAAGCTCATTAGATATTCTATTTTCTATTTTTTTATTATATAATCTTATATAATAAGCGATAACTAAATGATATTTATAGAAAAAATTTGCTAAATTCCATGTACAAAATATCTTCTAACACATTTTATGAGGATGTATAATCAAACAAAGGCATCTCTAAAGGTGCTAGAGGTGGAAGAGGTGCTAATCTAACAGAGCGTCCTTCACCCGAACAAATTTCATCATTCTCAACAACCGACACAGTATGCAACTGCTGTGTTAAGTGTTTCACCTCTTGTTCTTTGGCCTCTAGCTGACTGAGCAAACTTTCAACGAGAGATCTTAATTGAGAATTCACTGTTCGTAGTTCTTCGATAACTGTACCCGTATCTTTAGGGTGTTTGAATGCCTGATCATCATCAGGAAGTGATATGAGACTCAATAGAGTATCTTGTTCTTCAATAGTTTTGTAAATAGCTTGTCTCAATGATCCTTCAAATTTTTCTGTTCCAATAGACGCAGTAAAACCTTTATCATGGTGTTTTGTTGAATGCTTACTGTGCAGATTTTTCTGTTGGACTTCAAATGTATTTTTATACTCTTCATATTGTGCTTGCTTCATCCTTCAATATTAAATGTATATAAATTAGACGATTGATGTATGAAATATTTTCTTATTAAAGAAGTAACAATTCAATTTTTAATAATATAATTATGAATTAAATGGTATTAGAATGATAAATGAAGACTCAGGAATTATGATATATAAAAATTTATTATTTGCATTGAGCAAATTGATTTATGAACAGTAAAAAATTATAGTGAACTAATCAGACTGTTAGAAAAATATATAAATTTGATAGTGAAGTGCAACAATGATTTACCTGACAACAGCGGCTTGCCGTTTATGATAATCCCGTTGTAAAGCTAATGATTCAAGAGCAACAATCGAATGAATAGATGAAATTGGTGATTTTTTATCAGTACTGGTAATAGATTGTTCAGGTGTTATTTCAACGAAATTAACTCCTAATTGATTGTGAACTTCTGATAATAATCCTGCTACCCTTTCATGACATTCAGCTGCGTCTTCGAATCGTCCTTGATGTAAAAATGCTTCTGCTTTTCTTTGTTTTTCGTGTGCCTGAAATTATAATGAATTGTTAGATAACTGTCATGATTAATTATTAATAAATTCGAGATATTTTTTATGCCTATCGATGTATTTGATCTATAAATAAACCTATGACATTTCGCGAAAATAAATAGAGTATATCATCAAAAAATTGTAAGAAGTTGAATAATTTATGAAGCGAAGAAAATATCAGTCAAAGACCACAAAATATCCAAAACAAGTCAATAAAAAAAGAAACAATGGCGTAATACTGCCTACTAAGTATGTATTGTTTTTTATTTAAAAATTATATAAAAGTTAGTTTGTACTATCAAGAGATGAAACTTGAATGATTGATAGCTTTGATAAATAAAACAGTTTAGAATTATTAAATATTTTTAATCAATAACAATTGATAAAAAGTTTTTTATTGTTCAAAATGATATGCAAGAAATTAATGTGAAGTACTTACAATATTCAGAATAGAATTCTCCATGACTGGTTGCGATCAGCTGTTTGAGGAGACGTAAACAGGGTGCGCACGCATTATAAAGTATGGCGTCATTTCTCAGAAAATTATCATGATGACAACAAGATGGCGACTGTGTTGATATTTTAGGTTCGCGCGTTTTTCTGTGTACTTGATGATAAATATCGTAGATTTTGTGAGTTTTGGAGAGAAATAATTTCTTTATAAATATTCTTATGTTTGCATTAACAAGTAAATATGTCTATTGATCTATTAAAATATGTATTCAATTTACATTACAATTAAACATTCATTGAGAATGGACATTATCGAATGAAATAGTCATTTTTATTCGCTAATCATTAATATTTATTGATAAAAGTTTTTCATTGGTATTGATGCATTCATGTATTTTACGCCTCATTTTTTATATGAATATCTTATTATTAATAAAAAAGACTATATCTTTTTTATTTCTATTATCAATTTGTGCTATGATTTATTAGAATCTGTATGAAACGTATTTCATTTATTTAATAATATGATATTTTTTCTAAACCATACAAGGTACGTGAATATATCCATTATTTTTAATTTATAAATTAGTTCTAACATAAATATAATATATCATATAGAAAAAAAAATTGATAATTTTTGTGCATAATTTTTTCAGAGCAATGAACTGGGTAAGATGCTTTTATGTTCTTTGATGTGTGGTCTCGATTGGTGAGTTTTTCAATGATTTAATTTTTTTTGTTCAATACTATAATGATACATTTTTCTGCATAATTCCGTATGGAAATGTATACAGGTATCTCTAAGTACACCATATATGATTGTGTTATCATAAATAATTATTTAATTATTTATGCATTGGTTTAGAGATAAAAAATAAAATCATTTTACCTAGGTAGACTTAATTTAACCCATATAATCGTTACAAAGTATAAATTGCTCAGTTAATCTAATTCGATCGGATTTCACCATATTCTCACAGTTTTCACAAGAATCAATGAGCTCAATACCTCTTTGACTACTTGTTAAGATTACTCAAGCTTTATGGATCATTGAATCCTTAAAAGTGATGTCTGTCAAATGGTACTTGAAAGTCTTATCAATTTACTTTATCATTTAATGATTTGATTATGTTTGAAATGCTATTGAACATTGATTTCATTTTAACATTTTTCAGAAAATCGAAAATCGTTTTCAATCATTACATAAAGATTTTCTATTTTTCAGAGTAAATTAATAATTATTATTTCTACTATTAACTAAGTTATATAAATACCGATGTAAAAATTTATTTTATGCTATACTTTAACCATTAAATTAAAGAATAAGCTTCTGAATAGTGAATGTATTTTTTGTGAACAATAGATATTCAAATCATTAATTTTATCACTGGGAACTAAACAATTTTTAGAGATTTAATATCATTAAAATCGTACCGAAATGATCTCCATATATAGCTAATTCCATGCATTTATATCTTTTTTTATCAGTATCTGAAATTGCTGTTAGGCTATTAAAATCTAAAACCTGCGATTTTAGATAGCCTAAAAAGTCAAAAAAACAAACAAGTAAAATTTTTTTCACAAAAGTACTCAGTAGGACATCAAACTCTTCATTTTTATGTCTACCTAATTTACAATATGTGTTTAAGAAAAGTGTTTTTTATTTGAAGAAGTCTCATAAAAAAGTTACATAAGAAATCACTACTCGATGAAATCTAGAATGGGCTGTAGAAAAAGGCTTTAAAAAAATTCTAAATACAATTTTAATGTCTACACTAGTTGACCTTTCAAGTACAGTAGTTGATCATATACTGTTATGCTCTTCTGTGTAATTATATTGAGATGTATTGTTTGAAATGATCATTTTTTTCATAATTATTTTTCTTTTTCATTGAAGCAAAAAAGGAAAACTTTTAATAGAGATGTGCGTTAGTTCGAACTAATGCACTCACTCAACACTTCATAAGACTTAATCCTAGAAAAGAACTTCTTGATATAGTAATTAAGTGTCTCACAACCTTGTTACAACCATTATAGTTAAAATTACATCAAAACGTATTTTATTGTACCACTTATCTCTTTAATAATAAGTTTGTCCTTATTAAACTTATGTTGAAACAATGAACAAATTGTAAAAAAGTGAACTCAACCTAAAAAGGTAAAGAGAAGAAAGTTTTATTATTGATAAGATACCTATAGGTAAGGATTTTTTAAAATTAAAATTATTCTTAACTACTTTAAGTCATGACTATGTAATTTTGATGTTAAGTATATTTGACAAGATTTTTTTTATGTTCCAAATGTTAATAATACTAAAATGCAATCTTATAGCATAAATGCCAGTTGAAAGTCTGTTTATAACTTAACATTACCTCAATTTCATTCGATTGACTGAACGATTAAGTTAAAGTTAATATGTCATCATCATAGTTGTCAACGCACTAATCCATCAAACGACTTAAAAAAATTCCAATCGCTTTGACAATTCTAAGACTATTTGAATATCTGGTAGTTAAGTTGATCTTAAAGATGATTGGATCAATTTCAAAAGAAAAATTTCAAAAGTATATCAAGAAAGAGACAGTTTGGTTTTTCTTTAATTTTAATGACATCTATAAATCATCACAATATTATCATATTCGTGAAAAGAAAAACAAAAATATTAATAATTAAAATGTTCTTACCAAACTTTCAAATTTTATGTTTATGAGAAAAAAATAACTACACAGCAATAAATTAGTAAACAATTTTTTATTACAAAAACTTGATAAGAATCTAGTTAAGCATAAATTGTCTATTAGTGGCTGGTTAACAGTGTGACGCAGTTATAAGGGTCTTTACTAGAGAATCATCTAAAAATTTTTATGACAAAAACTTATCTTCAATGTTTTCAAATTTACCTCAGACGTTTCTCATTTATTACAGATTATTATCATGCTGATAATTCTTGTTAGGTATTGACATTTTTTAAATGTAAAACCGTATATAGTACTTTGTATCATAACTCGATTTTTCCTATAAAAATAAAACTTGCAGTCGAGTTGCAAAAGCTGGACCGACTACTACGAATACATATGTAGTAACACTCAGACAATATTCAATAATATACGGACCACCTGAAGCGTTAAAGATTCAAGAACTCATCGCTCCATGATCCCTGCCCATCATTAAAAATATATTATCAACCATAATCTTAGAAACTTTTATAATGTTTTCAAGCATACAGCTATTATATAATTCATAATGTGTATTAGATGTTTATTTAATTAATTACAAGATACCAAGAAGTAACAAAAGATTAAACTTTCCATGATTACGATTCGATAATCTCTTGGTTACTTATCGTATATCGATAATTAACTTGATTTTCCTATTAATCTCATCTGTACTTGTCATTTTCTATGTCTTTCTCTCGTGCACGTTGCCTATCTACTGGTGAATGGGCATGGTGAGGACCAACAGCGAGTATGAATGAAATAATAAATATAATTGACAGAAGGGCAGCGTGGGCTGTGACAAGCAAGCCAGCAGCAGCCTCTTAGGATAGGTGGAGATCGGGGTAAGACGTAAACGGCGCGCGCCATGTAGGATCGAGGTCATCACCTTTCTATAACTAAAAGCCTGCTTTCGCCCTTTCAAACCTCTCTTTTACTACTGCTTTTTTAATTTACTTTTTTTTAGCTTATTTATTTAACTTTATTCTAATTACATTAATTAGATATTTGAAAATCTCCAAGAAATCCAATGATACTTGGTGTATGATTTTATCACCATTATCAAATATCATTCCAATCAACTTTCTTTTTTTTTTATGGCCTTTAAAGTGTCACAATTTAACCCACCATTTTTTCTTGTTTACCGTTGTTTTTCAATAACGTTGGCATACTCCTGGCGTAGGTGTCTCCTTGGAACAGTGGGTGGAATATTCTCACCATCTAAGAGAAACAAGAAAGAGAGAGGAAGATCAGTGACTCTTGCTCTCTTGCTAGGACCTAGAGGTCATCGCACCCCCCATTCTAAAACATCCACTTTTTCTCCAGTCATGACATTTTACTCAGGAGATACATCTAAGCTGGTCGGTGGGTGATAACCAGTAATTTTCTGACCTCTTAGTGCAGATCCAAATGCAGGGACATTAGCCGGCTCTTTTGGTTATCATCATAATACACTTGAAGGATCGAGTCTTGATCAGAAACAGTTGAGAGAGACTATCCATCCCACCATGATGTATGTATATGCCGGTGTCTTATACCCATTCTCTCTAGCTGTCCTTCTTCGAGGCTAGAGCTTCCAAAGACGGTTAGGGAGGTACGGTTTCCGGTCGCCCACGCATCAACCTAGTCAGCGTCCAAGTCAGAGAGTTGTGAAAATCTTCGATTCAGGCGTCAAGTGTATATACCTGGCGCAATAACACATATAGGAGATAGTTATGGTATTAGATATTATGACGGTGGGATATAGAGAGTGATTATTATTTTCTCAACTGTTGCACACTTAGATCTATAAGCATCTATAAGCTTAAGACACACGAACATTATATTATCCTCAATCCCCAATGGACAAATCCGGATTTTGATTAGTCGATTCTTTCGATCCCATTCACCAATCGATCATGCGTCTAGAAATAATTAATGTCGACTTGGTGGGATCTCAAGGCTCAGAATTAACTCATCCGTATTAAACTTGTTGGGATTCGAAAGTGTTGACACTATATTTATTTATTTTATTCCATTTTTTTCTCTTCTATATACTGATCATTATAATTCACTCCAAAAATTTAAATTAACTCGTTATATTTTTACGTTTCATTTGTAACGGAAACAAAATGTTTCAGATCAAATTCCATCATCAGGTGACATCGAAGAGATTTAGTCAAGATGATGATGATGATGCGGGTCTGTTTTCTCTGATTGAAGAGATGTTAAGGAATGAAGTAGACGGTGCGGGTGTACATGTACTGTCAAGTGATTTCTTGATGGTCTCCTAAGAAAGATCGAGGTCATTCAGTGTCTCAGCGACACATTCCAAAGGGTCTCTACCGTTTGCAGAATAATCTAAAGACTATCCTCTAAGCACATACATTGGCATCGGCCGTTGTCTCTCAGCAGTTCTCTTATTGTTGAGTTAAGGGCATTCTGTAAATGTAGGAGGGATAGTTTCCGGTCGCCCACGCACCATCTCCAGTGTGCTGCAGTCACCTCACTCTGCTTTCGCGGCATCAAGGGACACAAACGTAAGAGAGTTCTACCAACTTGCACAACCCACGCGAATTTCCCTTCAAGTCAATTGCACACACCTGAGAGTTTAGTATATGACAGTTATTGCATCAGTCAATGAATGTAGTGTGTTAATTAGACTCGTCAACTGTTACAGTGACATCACGGAATTTGGAAATAATCCACCTACTCTTGAATATAAGGAATTTGCATTCTTGACGTGCATCCATTAGTAATACAAAGCTTCTGTTTATCTTCACACTCGAGGGATATCCTTTTGTAGAGACCTCCAGAGACTATGAATACACTCAAATCGACCTCCCCGAGAGTCAAGGACATTTTTCTGGCCCAACACAGAAGAGAAGATTGTACAAAATCTCAAGTGAGTAACGTTTCAAGATAAAGACTGGCAGGCATCAGAATATTATGAGGGTACCTGTTGTATACCTAGCAACAAGTGGGCAACTGCTTTCGACGAGTTCAAGCATCAGTTCGTATACTCATATATAGATATACATACATGTTCATTTCTTTCTCGTTTGTACTCAACTCTTGAGGGCGATGCACTTGATGTAAACACACCACCTACCTGGACCACAAACGATTGAGTACGAATTTATCCGTTACCTGAATCATCATCAAACTTCTCTATACAATGCTAGAACAAAAACATCTCAATAGAAGCTGGAGAGATAGAGGGAAAAAAGAATGAAAAAAAAATAACTAAAGATAGCAAGATGTAAATAATTGAAGATGCTTGGATCTCTCACGCCGTAAAGTCGTTATTATATCCCATAGGGTATTGTTCCCATGGGAAAACTGGACAGAGCTCTTATGCTCGGGCCTCCAGGTAAGTCCCCGCACACGCACGCTTCCTGAGGCACATACAAGCGTACAGGGGACACACTTGAGCGTCGATTTGAGATATCGCAGGGGGCGTTAACCTCGCATCTTGTTCCTTCGTACGCGTGTGCGTGTCGTCTCAACTCACGTGCATGTGTAAAGCACTGCTCAGGTCGACAAGAGAGAAAGAGGGTGTGCGTATATGAGTTTGCTGCAGCCGCAAGACTCGATGGATGCTTGAGGAGCAGGGTGCGGCTCAACCCACCTTGGTTCTCAGCTAACCTACCCATATTACTGTCTCTTGGACGCATATACCCAGCCGTCAGCCAGGATACTATGCCGTATTTGCATCCATGATCCAGGACACGTGCTCACGTATCCAACCTTATTTTTCTTATTTATCTTCCGTGTGTCTTTTTGGTCTTGTTTTGCTTTGATGCTCTAGAGTCGTTTTATTATTTTGTATAACACAAGTGGCATCTTATGCAGACTGAATCGGAGGTATTGTACATGTATAGTGTAGGGTGCTGAACAATTCCGTTGATGAACAAAACACATAAATTGGAGAAAAGTTGACTTAAAAATACACTTAAACATTTCGCTTTTAGAGGAACATCTTTTAACATGAATTTAAGAGAAACATTTTTATTTTAATAATATTAAACTCATTTGATTTATGAAAATAATTCACTTTTTTTTTTTGGTAATCTTTAATTGAAGTTGGTAAAACTATTTTTAATTTGTCTAAAATGTTGACAATTAATTTATTGTTGGCAAAGTTAGTGAATTTTTTTTACAGTAAATATTTTTTAAGTAATGTTAAGTTGTAGTAATTATGTTTATGGTAGCTACAACCATCATTTAGATTTTAATATGCCCATTTTTATTATTACCATCAACATATTATGCTTGTAAGTAGCAATTATTTTTGTAAAGATATTTTTATGGTTTTGAGCAGTACCACACACTTAAAAGTCATTTTCTTAGATATTAGGTTTAAGTATAATTATTATTAAACAATTTTAAATAATGATTTATTTGATAAAATAAATAATTCTTTAAGTAGTAATATCAATTTAAATTCGTGTGGTTAAAAATTAAAAAAGTTGGTTGCATAATTTATTCAAGAATGATTATTTTATTTTGATGATCACTTGCTAAGAAATGAATTAATTCTTTTATTGATAAACTTATGTAAATTTTAAACCTTCAAGTCTTTCATATTCAATTATTGGACATGATGATGGTGCATATTTTCACCGACACGTATTTCATCTGATGAAAATAACATTTCGTTTCGGAAGTTAATCAGGATGACTTCTATTTTTTCCTTCATCCGTTTTTTCTTTATTATGTTCTACTCTTATCTATCTCTGATACAAATTGGTTTTTAATTCGTTTGAATATATAGTTATATTATGATTGATGAAGACAAAGTTTGATATATATATATATTTTTTTTTCTACCGAGAAAAAAATTTTAAAATCCTTGCATTCTTGTTGTTTCTCACTTATTCCAATTCTTGACCACCAGGTGCTTTGCATCATACTTATAAACCTCTTATTTATTTATATTTTGTTAGTTGCATTTTATTGATCAATTAATTTACCATAAATGCTGAAAAAGAATTTACAGTTGCCGAAAACTTGCAATAGTATTTTTATTACCGATGTTCATATAATTTTTTTGTATCTCCAAACATCACCTCCAATTAAATTTTTTTACCAATTTTTTCTCCTTTTTATTATTCATTTTATTTTTTTGCTCAATTTAAAAAAAAAAGCCAGAAAACTTCTGGTAATCCTGTTTTATTAAACGAACCCAATAAGAATACGTTTTATTCGGCAAAAAATCGATTTCCTGTTATTTTCCATCTATTAATCTTAATCGTTCATTGATTGGTCTACCCTATCCCCTAGTATTTTTATTATTATTTACCTCATCTAAATGAAAATATCCTTGAGCGGCTCGTTGCCATATTTGCATGCGATTCAGGACACGCGTGCGCTGTGGTTTTGTTGCTGATTCTTAACTCGTCTCCCTGTCGCTCTTATAACCACTCGTTTTTCCTCTCACGCACGTGAGCACGATCTACATGAACACGCACTACATGCTTCCATGACGATACAGTTTCACGCAGTCGCGTAGGCGAATAAATCTTTCAAGGGATATATCGATTCGTAAAGACGTAACTTGTGCTTGCTATCTTCTATACTATACGTATAATACCTAAGGGATGAAGGAAGTGTGTGTACCATAATCCGAAAATCTTCAACTACAACGACAAGTTAGCGGTGTGACGATCGAGGCGTTGGATACAAAAAAAAACCTGCACGTATATACCCAAGCGTCGAACGAGATAAGATTGAACCTTTGCGAGTCGTGTGGGCACGTAACGATCATGGTTTATTCTGGTAGCGAGTAACTTATTGCCTGCGTAACACGTAACACGCTGCTGTATTTTTATTATACATCCTGGAGCGTATTCTCTTTCTTTTCAAAAGGGCTATCATGAGCTGTGACAGTCTAGGTGGTCGTTTTGCGGGCGACAAAACAATTTTGTTGATCACACTAACGTGATAGTGTTTCTTCTTCTTCACTCACATTAATTCCATCGTCGATGTGTCGATACATGCCCAAAAAAAGGATAAAAAAAGAGATAAAACTCACACGATGAGGCTTTCCAGGAATTTCGTGAATTACGAGTTGGTCCAGTGTAACTCCGGATTCTCAAGATTCCGACGGATCTCATTCTTATGGTCCATCTTATGACTATCGTACTCATGTCTTCTCGCTCAAACCGGATGGCACGGCCATGTAATTAATTGATATAATAATCAAGACGGTCAAACTTCATTTCATCGTGAGACTCTTGGCTGTGAATGTTGTAGTCTTGGTATACATGTAGACCTCAATGAACGATTAAGTGCTTATTTATTGTTCAGCTCTAGTCTAATCGAAATACCGAACATTTGTCACACCTAATCAAATTCACACGTTATGTTCTCAATGAGAGGCTTATTAAAACATTATATTATTTCATAATAAATCGAGATTACGTCCGATTTTGGTGAAACACACGACACCGATGTGTACATATATTCAGATAATATATACTCAAGGTTATCATATCCGCATTCGATCACCCATAATCCACTTGGTGCGATTACTATCGAAGACTCTAGGTAAGAGCTTCGTCTTGCGACATCCCATCAGTGTCTGTCTTGCTACAGTCGTTATGCGAGACTTTCACCAACGGCTGAGTTCATTCATAAATTGATTATTGCCAACTTGTATAACCGCGTTTAACTACAACGTGTATAGCTATGTATATGAGCCACATAAAATTATCAATGCATATTTTATTTATGGATTTTTTCATTTCCCGACACTTTTATGGGCAAATTGGAGTAGAGGGAAGTGATTGTGTAGATGTAAGAGGTATATTTATACATGACTTTATTAATGAGAAATTTTTGAGAACTCATTTAATTTTGATTAGTTTGTTTGGTAATAAAATCATTTTTTAAAACGTAACAAATATTTTTCTTCAGAAAAACATCATTGGGAGAAATCAAGATATAAAAAAAAAGTTTTGATGAGTTTAAAAATAAAAAATTTAATTGATAAACATATTTTTTATTGATCAATTTGACTTTAGAATGAGGTACTGAAATTTAGGATCAGCTTTTTGATAGAGAATTTATTGTGAAATTTGATAGAAGTTAGTTTATAAAAATTTAAAATTGAATTCAAAAAATATTTTATATAGAATTACTATTATTTAAGTGTCGACATTTTTTTAAAAAATAATTGAAACAATTTTTCTCGATTAATAATTATTGTTGTTGATCTATTTGACACAATTCTGGAGGGCAATAATT